CAGTAAACACTCCAAGAAAGGAAAGAGGAGACCAAGAACAGTATACTAGGATATTTGAACAAGAACTCCATGTGGAGTTACCAAAAGTCTGTGGGAAAGAGGTCAGCCCAGGCTGTGCCAAGGGCTGCACAGAAGTACCGGGAAGCTCCCTCCAGCCAGCGAGTTAATTTTTCCTCTCTGGGCCTCATCAGTGGAATATGAATAGTAACCCCGGCCCTGTTCACTCATTAATTATTCATTGAACAAACATTAACATTGACCATGTCCCAGCTATTCTGTTAGCTGTTAGGGAGAAAGAGCCAAGAAGATGTCTCGGCCCACTATGAGGTTCAGAAGGAGACAAGTAAGTCAGCAGCTAGCACGCTCCGTAATAGATGTCCTCTTGGAGGGAAGAAGGGGGTGCCGGCTGCGGCGGGAGAAATGGGGAAGGGCATGACCTCAGCCGCGTACCCATTTCACAGATATTCACTAACCACCTGCTTGGACCAGGCTCCTGGGAAAGGTGTTCCTGGCACTCAGAAAAGATCATCTCAATGTGAGTTTAGAAGGACTGATGACATTACTAGACTAAGGAAACGATGGCTAGGGCCACAGCAAAGAAAACATAATAGTGAGAAGCTTTCCTACACTCAGGAGTTGAGCCTGGTTACCCCGACTAGAAGCCCGTGCCCCACGCGACCCAGCCTGTGCATGGAGTCAAAGGAAACAAATCCCACTGTCAACGCGTGGAAGAATCATTGAGCCTTCAGCTGTGGGTTTTGTTACCAGGGCTTTCTTAAGAGTTTTACACAGCTAACCACATAGAAAGCCTGCCAAAAATGTCTTTAAATATCTTTCCCCACCTCCACCAAAATTCCAGGATGCCTTTAAAAATCTCTCCAGTTCTCTGTATCCAGTTCCTTCATTGCCATATTCTTCTATTCCCAGTCCTTCGCCATCACCCCCTACCAAGCCAGCGGGTGCTTCAAACATGCAGGAATCACGCAGAGTATTCATTTCCTAGAGCTTCCATTACAAAGCACCACAAACTGGGGGCTTTATAGCAACTGAAATATATTTACGCCTCACAGTTCTGGAGGCTAGAAGTCCAACATCAAGGTGTAGGCAAGCTCTGCCACCAGCTCTAGGGAAGAATCCTTGCTTCCCTCTCCTAGGTTCTAGTGATGGCTGGCGATTCTTGGCATCCTTGGCTTACGGATACATCCCTCCAGCCTCTGTCTCCATTGGCACATGATGTTCTCCCTGAGTATCGATTTCTTCTCTTCTTATAAGAACACCAGTCATATTAGATTAAGGGTCCATACCTATCCCAGTGTGACCTCATTTTAACTAATTACATCAGCAACAACCCTATTTTCAAATAAGGTCACAGTCCAAGGTACTGGGAGTTAGGACTTCAACCTCTCTTTTCCGGGGACACAGTCCAACCTGTCACAGAGGCACATCCCAGGCCTGAGCCCCACGGACCGGTGCTGCTCTGCTGGCAGGCACAGCCGCTTCTCTCATCGGGGCCAACGAGCTTCATTAACCGTGAAATCTCTCAAAAGCAACTTACAGTGCAATTAAGGCCAAGACTCTTAATATTTAACCACAGAGTACTCCTCCTTCTGAGCGTCAAAACCTCATTTTACCGTTCCCAGTAGTCCATGTTCTATAGAGGACGTTCCAGCATGATTGTGAGGTTTTTCCAGTTCTCTTGCTAACGTGCGGTGAGGGATTTGACATACACGGCCTGGCCTGTCTCCGTCCGAACACAGACCCAGCCAGGGGCTGCGAGGCAGCCCACCACACATTTGGAGCGGGGGCCCTGCCATCTCTCAGGGAGACATCGGCACACCTCTAAACCTCTAAGACCCTCTGTCCCTCTGTTCCTTCTGGGGAATGTTCGCTTGTTCAGTTGCACTAGTATGTACTAAGTGACTACTAGGTGCTGTTCCAGGCAATAGAAGTCCCATAGCGAACAAAACAGACACAAATCCTCACCTTCATCAAGATAACATTCTTGGGAGAGAAGTTTTCAAAACTGAAAGCTATGCAGTATGTCTGATGGTGCCGGTGCCATAAAGAAAGTAAAGTAGGGTAGAGGGGAAGACGCTGCTGGGAGAAGGGCTGCAATGTTAAATAGGGTAGTCACGGAAGCTCTCATTGAGAAGGTAACATTTGAGCAAAGATTTAAAGGAGGTGGAGGAGCAAGCCGAGTGGCTGTCTGGGGGAAGGACATTCCAGGCCAAGAGAACACCACACGCCAAGACTCTGGGTGCCTGGAATGTTTACAGAACAGCAAAGAAACCAACGCACCCGGAGGAGGGTACGTGGGAGACAGCAGTAGAAGTGGGAGCAGATTCTTCAGGGACCTGGAAGGGCTGTGGGGGGTAGGGGGGTGTGTTTTAATTTTTTATTTATTTACTTTTAGGCAGAGGGGAAGGGAGGAAGAAAGAGAGGGAGAGAAACATCAATGTGTGGTTGCCCCTCATACGCCCCCTAGTGGGGGCCTGGCCCACAACCCAGGCATGTGCCCTGATAGGGAATCCAACCCGTAACACTTTGGTTCACAGGCCGGCACCACTGAGCCACACCAGCCAGCGAAGTTGTGGCGTGTTTTAAATGTGACTCAAAGTCCAGTCAAGACTTTCCAGTTCTTTGGAAGAAACTAGCTTGCAACAGGTGTTCTAAGCCTGCAGCATCACCAGTGCCAAGGGAGAAACCAAGGCCCAGGAGACCTAGTCTCTGACAGTGAAGTTGGGCAACAGCCTCTCACAAACCCAGGCATGTCTGACATCGGCCCTCTCACAGTCCAAGCAGACTGATTTCTTAAGGCTCTAAACAATGTGGAGGTTGACGGGGGCGGCGGGGGGGATGAAATTTCCATTTGCAACTTTTCATCTTACGGGATGTGTCAGGATAGGCTAGGTTGCCATAACAGAACAATTCACCGTGTTAAGGGATATAAAAGTGTTTCTCTTTCTCATGCAATAGATCTAAGAGGAGCATTTCAGGTTAATGGGTGATTCTGCTCTGCAAGGTCATTCAGGGACCCAGAGTGACGGCCTCTCTGCCGTCTTCAACACATGGCTTCCAGGCTTGCTCTAGGTGTCACCATTCCCACCAACAGGAAAGGAGGAAGCATGCTTTACACATCATGCCACAAAGTACCAGAAGTCTCTCTAGACACCCACTGGTGCACTTTTCTTACACCCGTTCACTTCCCTCTTACCCTTCTCCCTCCCCCTCCCCACACACACATGGCGTGTAGGCTCCATCCGCCTGGGTTCGCTGGCCACGTGGGCTGCTCGGAAACAGCTGGAGAACCTGGTGTCTTGTCCACGTGGCCACATTGTTCCTTACTTCCAGCAGAGGAAAGTGTGGTTCCTCCCCTGCACTGTTTTACCTCTAAAACATTCCTGGGAGGCATCGCTAGTGAATAAAATTCCCCACTTCATCACCTGGCTAATTCAGAGTAGCTGGACAAAGGGGGATTTGAGGGATTAGCAGGAGATTAGGTCAGACAAGTAGGCAGGGGCCAGGGCATGAGGGCTTTAGAAATCTGTGTTAACTGAGCTCTCTCTTTACCCAAAGGGACAAGAGGAAGCCCGTGAGTGCATGAGGCAAAACAAGAAGCAGATCTGAGAGGTGTTTTAGAAAGTGGTGATTATCCAGGAAGAATGGGGAGGAGGGACAGAGATCGAGGGCTGGGAGACCTGTCAGGATGTGGTTGCAGGAGCCCTCTCAGGGACTGGGGGTGACAACGCCACCTCTTAAGGTGGTTGTGAGGATTGAAGGGGTGGAGGTCTGGACAGTGCCCCGTGCGGCATAAACCCTCAATAATTATCGGCTGCTGCCCTCAACCCAAGTGCAAGACGATGAGACCCTCACTAAGCATAAAAATGCAGATTCAAGAAATGTGAAAAAGTTAGAAAGTGGAGAGTTGAGTGATTGTAAAGTGAGTGAGGAAGGAGTGAAAAGAGTGCGACCAGTCGCTGCGATTTGGAGACCTCCAGGCAGGGGCGGGCCACGTGGACCCTGAGATGCCCACGGGACACCCTTCACCCAGGGGGAGGTTTCAAGCTGGCAGCTGAGTCTCCGGGTCTCACGACCAGAAGAAAGTCTGGGCTGAAGATGTGGGTTTACAGTCTTCATCATAAAACAGTCATCAAAGCCACAGAAGCCAGCGGTGTTTCCTGCGGGGAGTGGGTGAAAGAGAGGACGGTGGAAGAAGAGCCTGGGGAAGCCCACTCGGAGCCCGTGGAGGAGAAGGGGAAAGGCAGGCGGAGGGAGAGGTCGGCCACGTCACGGGCTGCACAGGCCAGGTCCGGTCAGGACACCGCTGATCTGGCGGAAACGACATTGGTTGCGGGGAACACAGTTTCTGTGGAGTAGCAGAGGAAGGTCTGAGGAAGGAGTGGGCGGTGAGGATGGGGTGACGGCAAGCACAGGGCCTCGTACAAGAAAAGTAGCCTTAAAGGGAAGGGAGGAATGGAGCGAATGTGGAGGGCAAAGAGCGGGTAAGCTGGAGAGATCCGAGCACATGCGAATGCTGATGAGGAGGAGTCAGGAGAGCATGAGGGTGAGGATGTGGGATGGAGCGAGGGGGTGCCTATGCGGGGGCGGGGGGTGAGGTCGAGGGTTCAACAGAGGGACTGACCTCAGACGTGTGAGGTGACAAGCGGGATGCACAAGGATGCACGCAAGCCTGGCGGGGCCAAGGTCAGACCTAGATGTGACAGCAGAGCAGACTTTGAAAGTTGTATGCCAGGCCACACGCACACTAGGGGGCTGTTGTCATGACAAAACCACACGCCAGGGGCCCAAAGGGCCACAGGTGGACCTCAGGAGCCTGGGCCAGGCTGAAAGGGGCCATGGTGCCTGGGAGGCAGGGGGCCAGGTTCAGGGGGTCAGGTGGCGGCGCTGGAGAGCGAGCGTGCCCATGGGGACCCAGCCGAGCGTGGCCAAGGGGGCCGCTCTGCACTGAGCCCCGCTGGTGTCCCCTTTCTCCCGTGCAGTGGGACCTGGTGTGCGGCTCTCACAAACTGAAGGAGATGGCCCAGTCTATGTTCATGGCGGGCACGCTGATCGGCGGGATCTTGCTGGGAAGCCTGTCTGACAGGTGAGACACTGGGGCCTCCCAAGAGGGGGCACAACCCATGGCGACAAGCCTTCCCCTCGGTGCTCCACCCAGGAGCCCCAAAGAGGCAAAGAGCTGGGGAGGGCGGGGGGATGGGCCTTGCCACGTAGCCTTGGGCAAGTCCCCCTCCCTCTGGGGGCCAGAGCCTCCTCTCTGACCCAGAGCCCTTGCGACTTGGGTTTTCCAGCCTCCCTGACCCAGTGGGAAAAACCTCCAGGTTTTTGGACACAGCGCAGTGGCTGCGTGGCGGTGGAGGTGGGGCGGATGGGCTGCTTAGAGATGACTTGACCCTTTGACCCCTCCTCAGGAAGCTAAGCTGGAGGTGGAGGATGGTGGAGGTATGGTTTTATTAACTATAAAACCTCTCACTGCAAACTTGTCAAAAAAAAAAATGCAATTACAAGCAAAGCTCTGTTGAGGGAGGAAGTTACATGCCCTGCTTAGCATTCCAAGCGGTGGGAGGTCCTGCCCTTTGCTCCAGGCCCACAGAGTTGCTCGCCTTGGCTGACTCACTGCGCCTAACCTGGCCCCTCCTCTCCTTTGAGCTGCAGGTTTGGCCGAAAGCCCATCCTGTCCTGCAGCTACCTGCTGCTGGCGGCCAGCGGTGCCAGTGCAGCCATCAGCCCCAACTTGCCCATCTATATGGCCTTGCGCTTCCTGTGTGGCTTCAGCACCGCAGGTGTTATCTTGAGCACCGTGATCTTGGGTGAGCCACAGGGGAAGGGGGCAGGGGAGCACCAGCCAAAGCCGAGAGATTGGGGTCAGGGTCAGTGCTTGGGGCCCCGTGTGGCCTTAGTAGAACAAGGTGTCGCCCCTCTGAAGGTGACAGCAACACGTACAATAGCAGCAACTGTCAATCCTGAGCACTTAGGCTGGGCCTGGCCCTCCACTAGGTCCGCACGCCTAAGTGCAATAAGTACATGACCCTATTATCCCCATTATACAGATAAGGCAATTGAGGCAAAACAGGGGAAGTCACTGGTCTCTGGAGAGGCAGCCAAGAGCATGAACTTGGGATTCAGACAGACCTAAGTTTGAGTCCTACCTTCTTGAGCTCTGTGGCTACATCTATAAAACAGAGTCAATGAGCCCTTAGGATCAAAGTCAGATCAAGCAGCCAGTGGGCAGCAGGAGCTGATGCCCCTTCACAGGGAGGTGCCCAGGGTCCAGAAGGACCCTCATCTGGTCCTTGGGCCCCTCCCGCAGTTGTCGAGTGGACGCCCAGCCGGGTGCGGGCCATCACGTCAGTCGGGGTGGGCTACTTCTACACCTTTGGCCAGTTCATCCTGCCTGGCCTGGCCTACATCATCCTCCAGTGGCGCTGGCTGCAGTTAACCGTGTCTGTTCCCTACTTCGCCTTCTTCCTGTTGTCCTGGTAGGTGGCCTCTCCCCCTCGCCTTCCTCCTCAGGCCCAGCAGAACCAAATGGAAAGCCCGGGCCTGACCAGCCTGGCCAGTTCTGTCTGTCCCGAGGCTTCCCTGTCTCAGAGTCAGGAGGCGGACCCCAGGGAGGAGGAAGTACCTACGCAAAGGCAAGGTGCAGGAAGATGCAGGTGTCTGGGGTGCCCTCGGGGGCTGTCTGCAGCAGCAGAAGGGCGGAGCTGAGCCGGAGGGATGGGGCCAGGCTGCAGAGAGCAGAAAAGCCAAGAGGGCTGAGCACCAGGCGGAGAGATGCCGACCCCCTCCGGAGGTGTCCACGGTGCTGAGAAGCCTGGCCACGCTTCCCTTGGTGAGATAATAGCAGAGAGAGACAGACCCAAGCGGGCGGGGATGAGAGGCAAAAGGGAAGTAACCAATTGTATGGGACGGAGAACCAGGGGACACGTGTGAGAGGCGTTTTGAAGGAAAAATCCACACCATTTGGGGACTTTTGAATTTGAGGAATAAAGAAAAAGAAAGCTCAAAGCCTAAGAACCTGGAAGAATCAAGGAATAAAGAAAAAGAAAGCTCAAAGCCTAAGAACCTGGCAGAATCAAGGTGCCTAGGTCAGAAATCCTCAATAGGTCAAGAGTTCATTATTAACAAGTTAAACCTGAGGACACATTGACGACAGGAAATGACTCTCTAGAAGGTAGTTGGAGCCAGTGAACAGGAACTAATAAATGAACTCGGGAAAAGAAACAAAGTCTTGGAGCAACTCCTTACTGAGCACTTACTATGTGCGAGACACTGCTCTGGGCATGGACCTACATTGTCTCCGATCCTCACAGCACCTCTGGGCGGAGGGGACACTGTTGTTCCCGTTTCACAGATGAGGAAACCGAGGCTCTGTGAAGTGAAGCCATTCCCCAAGGTGACACAAAAAGATACAGGACTTGGGGGGAACCTCCATTTGGAAATGAGAAGTATAATCTCCCAGAAAAGATGGGCAAAATCCTGGGGCGAGAGAGGGGGGTCGGCGGGTGCAGGTCCGCAGCCTGGCATGGGAGCAGAGGAGGAGCAAAGTCTTGAAATTATGGCAGGACCGATCGGGTACAGCCAAGAGCCCAGGCCCCTTCGTTACATGACTTGGGACAAGCCTCCCCCCTCCGAGCCTTAAGGTTTTTCTAAGCAAAGCGAGGATGATAATGTGTGTCACCCAAACTTACAAGTGCCTGGCCCACAGGGAGGCTCACTAACGGGAAGCCATTGTTGCCGTTATCTCAGAGAGGAGAAGACGGAGCCTGCTCACAGTGACTGCAAGTCACTGATAATCTTGGTGTGAGCAGACTGACGAAGCTAGGCAGAAACAGACGCCAAAAGGCCAGGAGAGGAGACAGCAACGGGCCCTGGAAGCCACCGCTACCAGCTGAGCCCAGTGGTCTGAGTGACCCACATCCCCTCCCCCCGGGGCCTCTCTGGAGCTAGATCCTGGGCTTGCAGGGCCCGCAGCTGGAGTTGATTTCAACTCGAACAAGACTTTTCCAAACATCACTCCTTTCCCCCCACCCCTAATGCCCCTCAGGGACTGCTTGGTGGGAACCAGCCCCCAAACTACAGCCCCAGGGGTGAGAGAGAGTGAGGTTGGCTACCCACCGGCCCACCCCAAGACCCCATGCTGTTTTATAGCCCCCCCAGCCCCGCCCCAGCATGGTTGGCCTTTTGCAGCGAGAATCCAAGGATCCTCAAACCCATTCCCTAGACCACAGTCCTATCCTTAGCCCCCTTTCCAAGCTGTCCCTTCACCCAGGACCCGAATGCAGCCCAAGGAGACGGGTGGTGAATACGCACAGCCCTCCGGCGGTCCAGCCTCAAACACGCTGTCCCCTCCCCAGACCCCACCTGCCTTGGCCTTGGGCTCAAGGCTCCCAGCTAAGGAAGACACCCAATGATACCAAGCAGCCCAGGTAGGGGGCCGAGAAAAAGCTCTTCTGGGAGGGGAAGGAAAGAACGATGGAATCTGTGCCGGCCACGGGCGGCCCAGGTGCAAAGCTTGGCCAAGTTTAAATTCCATGAAATCTGCGGTACGGCGGCTCAGGTTTCTGGGCCTCCCACCCTTTGGCCCTGGCTGTGCCTCTTCTTGCAGCCTGTCATAGGGGCTTCTGGCATGGGGATGAGCCACTGTTGTTTGATTTTGGCCCCCAGGTGGATACCAGAGTCCATACGCTGGATGGTCCTGTCTGGGAAGTCTTTGAAGGCCCTGAAGGTCCTCCGGTGGGTAGCTGCCATCAATGGCAAGGAGGAGGAGGCAGAAAAAATCAGCCTGGAGGTAGGGGCCGAGAGGACCTGTGGTCGGGGGCAGGAAACCAGGCTCTGCTCTCGGGCTGTGCCCTCTCTTGCCTGTCTGCCCTGCTCGCACGCCCACATCCCATCTGACACTAAGCCAGCTCCTCTAGAGACTTCAGGCCCGCACCCTCTCTTCCTCCTGCTGCCAGCGGCTACTAACAGCAGCCCTCCCCTTCCTCCGCCCCAAGGAGCTCAAAATCAACCTGCAGAAGGAGGTCTCCTTGACCAAGTACAGCACACGCGACCTGTTCCGGAGGCCCATCCTGCGCCACATGACGTTCTCTCTTTCCCTGGCCTGGTAAACCCCCGCCCTCTCCCCACGCCCACACCCTGGCACCACTGCCACAGCAGGGTGATGAACAAGGCCTCCAGCAGGCGAGCAAAGCCTGCGGCACCTGCAAGAGGAGCCAAGAGATCCCCCGCCCTGGGCTGCCCCAGCCCAACCCCCACCCCCACCCCAGCCCCAGAAAGTCCCCTGTGTCCTTGTACCACGCCCAGGTCCCGCCTTCGGGTCTGCATTCCTCTGGGGTCCTACCCCCTACCCACAGGCCAAGTGTTCCAAACCCCCTCACCAGTTCATGTCTCTGCCCCAGCAGTTTCCCCAGGCTGTGCCTCCCTGTCATTGTCCTCTCACTGGTCTGGCTCTGCCCTCTGAGACCCCACTGAGCACGGCTGGTCCTCAGGGCGTCGGACTTGCGGACAGAAATTGTGTGTCTCCTCCGTCATCTCTTCTGTCTGCCATTCCACTGCTCCTCCGAAGTCGCGTCTGTGACCTGGTTCTGAGGCCCTTCTGCATCCCAGCCCTCCCTAAATGTGATGCGGTTTGTTCGGGAACCCTTCCAAAACGACCCCAGACTTCCAGGAAGGGAAGGACAGGCCCCTGGCCCATGCACACAGCTCAGCTGTCACCTCCCCGTTCTGGATGTGAAACTATCACCCACCCAAGGGAGATCCTTTATTGCCTCCTTTGGTCTCTGAGAGTCCCCTCAGCCCTGATATTCTCTGGAGTCAATTATGTGGCATCTTTGCCACCACATCCTAGACCCTGCCCAGATTAGACATAACCAGTCAATCCCAGCACGCTCTCACCAAGCCCAGACACAACCTCAGAGACCTCAAAACAGCCCTCGAGCCACCCCTGCCGACCAGTTGCCGTTGGGACAAAAATGAAACCAGTCATCCTTCTGATGACCCCATGACCAGGATGGGGAAAGGCCCCAGCCGGGTTGCATGTGCTAATCGACGTGTCCCCTGCCCCTCAGGTTTTCCACCGGTTTTTCCTACTACAGCTTGGCTTTGAATGTGGAAGACTTTGGAGTCAACCTCTACCTGCTCCAACTCATCTTCGGCGGGATCGACGTCCCCGCCAAGTTCCTGACCATCCTCTCCATGAACTACCTGGGCCGGCGTACCACCGAGGTCACCGTCCTAATCCTGGCAGGGGGCGCCATCCTGGCTCTCACCTTTGTGCCCTCTGGTGAGAAGCTGGAACTTCCCCCGTGCCCTCTGAAAGAGGCTGACCCATGCCGGCCTGTGTGGCCGTGGGTGTCTTGGGCTGCCACCCAGCTGGGAAGTGGGAGCCAGGGACGCCGCTTCTGCTGTTTCTGTTGCTAACTCATGGCGTTGCCTTGAGTAGGTCCCTGTGGTCTCTAGGACTCATATCTCTTGTCTAGAAAATACCTCAGTCGGGCTGAGTGATATCAAAGGTCCTTTCCAGAGCTCATTCTGGAAAGCACGGTGCTGTCTGGACGGTGTACAGAATTTCTCGAGGGGTGGGCATGGCCTGGGGGGCGTTGCTGGAGAGAAGGAGCGGGATGGAGACACAACAGAGCCCAGGGCTCATGGAACACTCCACAAGCTCCTCCACCACGTCCTTGGAAAAGCCAGATTTATCTCATATAGATGTTTCTGTGTTGATGCACCTCAATCCTTCCAAAGGAACTTGAGATGTTTTAGGACAAGAACATAAACAACAAAAAGCAAATGAGAATAGGGAATCGGAGCCAAGGAAAACCACAAACACAGCAGGACACAAACCTGTGAAGGCCTAGGGATAGCAGAGTGGCTATTACTCAGCTTTAAGTTTGGGGCTGAGCTTCCTGGCAGCCAAAGCAAAAAGGGAGGCAAGGTGTGCTGCGGGCCGAGGTTACCCAAGTGCCCCCTGCCCGAAGGTTCTCCTCATGTTCTTCCCTCCACAGACTTGCAGACCCTGAGGACAGTGCTGGCTGTGTTTGGGAAGGGATGCCTGTCCAGCTCCTTCAGCTGCCTCTACCTCTACACGAGTGAGCTGTACCCCACCGTCATCCGGTAGGTGCTGGGCCTGGGGCTGGCCCAGCCGAAGGAAACAGGCTCAGGGGGGACTGTGGCATCCTCCCACACAGTGCCCTGGGGTCCCAGAGCCGTCCTGTAGGAACGCCACATGCGTGTGGCCAATCCCTGCTCTGCACTCCCGCAGGCAAACAGGTATGGGCGTAAGTAACCTGATGACTCGAATGGGAAGCATGATGGCCCCACTGGTGAGAATCACGGCCGAATGGCATCCTGTCGTCCCCAATGTCATTTTTGGGACCATCGCCCTTCTGGGAGGCAGCGTTTCCCTCTTCCTGCCCGAGACCCTCAATCAACCCTTGCCAGAGACTCTCGAGGACATAAAGAAATGGTCAGTCCCCCACCTCCGGCCTCATCGGTGTTGCTTCTCAGGAAGCAGGCCCAGGCCCGGGGCTTTTCCTCAGCTCTCCTTCCCTAGGTCCCCACGGGCAAAGGATCCAAAGTGGGAGCCAGAAGCACAGAATTTCCAGCGGAGCCCTCTGCAGCCTTGCTGACCGGGCCTGGGCCCCAGCTGAGGGCACAGAACCCCCTTTCCCTCCCTCCAGAGATGAACCCCAACCAGGCCCCTGCCTGCCTCTGGGCTCCATGGGCATCCTCAGGGGCCCCTGGGCAGTCCAGGCTCTTAGAACAAAGGCTCCTGAGAGCTTGGCGAAGCTATCACTGCACCAGCGCGTCTCCCAGCCCAGCCCCAACCTGGTCAAAGATGCAACCACCGGCCTTCCCACACCCCCTCACCTTCACCACGCCCCCTGCAGCCCAGGCCCTGCCACTTTCCTCTTTGTTTCAGTTCCCTTCTCCTGAAGCCCCCTGGACCCCCTGGCCAATCCTCCCTCCCCCTCTTGCCCTCCACCCCCTTTTTCAATGGGAGGTTTCAATAAACAATGAAAAACTCATGTGGCTCAGGAAAGGGGAAGGAGAGGGGGGCAGGCCACTGCGTGGACATGTGAGTTGCACGTCAGCATCTGTATATACGTGTATGGACACACAGGGACATGCAAGCTGGGCTGATGCGAGCATACGCACACATGTGTGAGGAAGCTAAGACATGTACACGCCAAGCCTTCCGTATTAGTTGGCACGAGCTACTAGCACAACCTGCCACTGACTGGGTCACTTAAACCACAAACACTTCTTTCTCACAGCTCTGGAAGCTGGCAAGTCCAAGATCAAGGTGCGGGCAGATTCACTTCCCGGCTAGAGCGCCCTTCCTGGTTTGCGGCTGGCCACCTTCTAACAGTCTCCTTGTGTGGAGGAGGGAGGGAGAGAGGGAGCAAGTTGTTTGATGGCTCTTCCATAAGGACACTAACCCCATCGTGAGGGCCCCACCCTCATGACCTCATCTAACCCTTATTATCTCCCAAAGGCCCCTCTCTGATTGCCACCGCATTGGCGGTTAGAGCTTCCGCAGACGCATTTGGGCAGGGACCCAAGCCCTGCGCCCCAGAGTGCCTGTGAGCAGACGGCAGGACAAACCCCGAGTGGCTGCAGGCAAACGTGGCTCCCCCAACACCGACCTTCCTGTGCTGCTGCCCCAAGTCTCTGACCCATGTCCCAGCCCCAAGCCCACCAGACAGCTTTGCCTCCTATTTAACTGAGAAAATTTTAGCCAAAGCTGACTGCCTTCCACGTCTGCTGTCGCGTTTCCCGAGTTCCCTTCAAAGTCCAGTCCTCCCATGGGGGCCCGGCACCCAGCCTCTCCCACCAGCAGCCGACTGCCTTGCCCCCCAGGTCTCCACCCAGTCCCTCTGTCCTGGCTCCTTCTATCACCAGCTAAGCTCAAGCCTCTCCACGCTTAACAAAAACCAAACAAGCAAGCCAACCTCCGCGGATGCCTTACCTCCTTCCAGAGACCATGCTGGCTCTTTCCCTTGCTCACAGCCAAACTGCCCGGAAGAGCCATCTGCCTCCACCTTGCAACCTCATCCATCTCCGTACTGCCCACAGGCTCCCACCCCTTCCCGGAAGCTGTCTTCACCAAGGACACACAGTGCCCCCGTTGCTAAATCCGTAGGTCACTTTTTGTCCCTCGTCTTACTGGGACTCTCAGGCGGTTTGTTCTCTCGGCCACGCCCAGCTCCCTTGGTTGCTGAGACGCCGCGCTTACAGCTCCCTCCTACACTCTGGCTGCTCCTTCTCCATCTCTTTCGGGGTTTCCCCAGGGTCTACGTCCCAGAAACTGCTAACTAAACAGTTACAGGACCCTACACCTCTGGTCATGACCCACAGGATCAGAGGCCACTGCAGATCCGAACCTCATTAATCACGTGTTCCGTCCTGCACCGGCATTTGAGCGTGGAGAGTCTAGTCCATCTCTTGGTCCTCGTCCTTTGAAGGCATTTTGTCACGAGGGTGGGGCTGGTGCAGGGGCACGTTGAGCAGAGAAGAGATACGGCAGGGTGAAGAGAGGAGGAGAACAAGAGAGAACACAGGCCCAGACAGGCAGAGCTGGGAGGCTCTTTGCGTTGATTCTTCATGGGTTCCAGGTCCCAGAGCCCGGTCAGCCCTGGATGCACTTTCTGACCATGGGTTCTAGTAACTATCCCAGAATTCTCCAAATAAATCCCCCATTTTGTTTAAGCTAAACTCGAGGTTTTCCATTCCTGTCATCAGACAGCTCCCAAAGCAGGTCCCCTTCCTCTCCACCCCTTAAACGCTGACACCCCTCAGAGCCCTTTCCTGGGATGCGTCCTCTACTAATCTTCCCAGCACTGTCCAGTGGGAATACAACGCGAGCCATCTCTGTAAGCTGAAAATTCCTCGTAGGCGCTTTTTTTTAAGTTAAAAAAGTATAATTTTAATAAAAGTATATTAGATATAATAACAGTACATTGTATTTAGCCCAGTATGTCTGTATATTACCATTTCTGTATGTAACCAATATCAAAGTTATCAGTGAGATATTTTATAGCCTTTAATGCATACTAAGTCTTCAAAATCTGCTGCGTGTTTTATCATACGGTTAGAGCTCTCATTTCAGACCCGCTCAACCCAAACACTCCGTAGTGGCGAGTGGCTGTCATATTGGTGCTCCATATTGAATGGCAAACCGCTGAGCCATTTGGAGGCCGAGCTCAGGAGCAGAGAAAGCTGTAGGGGAGGCAGGAAGCCACTGAGCTGGAGAGGGCGTGGCACCCAGACAACTCAGACACGCCCCGCAACGCTGATTGCTCCCAAATCTGTATTTAAATTTTTGAGGGAGAGCTTGCTAAACATGAAAGATCACACTGTAGCCCTGCTTCAGCCTTCCTGTGACTCCCTTTGGGAAGAAGTTTACACTCTGATACAGGGCCTGCCATGGTCGCACCCCACCCTGCTTCCACACCCTTCTCCTTGCACCCTGAAATCCGCCTCATTCTGCTTCCTTCCATTCCTTCTCTTAGCCCTGCCCTTCATGCAAGCCCCACGGCACTTGACTTAGGGTCAGCGGACAAAGGGGCCACCCAGGCCTTCCCTGGGTTTGACTGGGTTGCAGCCTGGAGGGAGAAGAATGGGCTCCGTGAGGAGCACCAGCCACCTCACTCTACCACCACCTGTCAGCTGTCAGAATTCAGGGTGGCTCCCAGGGTCTCGGAGGCTGTTTCAGGGTATTTACTGCGGACTCACAGGAAGGGAAGGGGTGATGCCCAGGACAGCACTTCCCGGTCACGTGACCAGGACTCCGGGTGAACTGGGGTGCTTGCCAGCCTTACTGACCCATTCTTCTTGCTATTCCCAAAGCCCGGGTCTGGATGCCACGCCCTCCCCAGCTCAGCTGCTTCCTGCCTCCCCTACTCCCTTCTCCCTGCTCTCAAGCTGGGCCTCCAAATGGCTCAGTGATTTGCCATTCAATATGGAATACCTCTCTTGGGCGGAGCCCTGATACCGAGCCATCTCATTGGTTACCAGCCTCATGTCCAGCCCTTGGATGGCAGTCTTTGCCTGAACTTTCAATCTCTGCACCATCCATCGGCCAGGGTAGCCAGACCACGGGCATAAAGCTCATAGTTTATGCTCAGGATGTTGCTATGGGCCTGGCGGGCCCTCCAGGTCTGCCAGACTTCTCTCCAGGTCGAGCATTTTCTTTTATTTTTTAAAGATTTTATTAATTTATTTTTAGAGAGAGAGGAAGGGAGGGAGAAAGAGAGGGAGAGAAACATTGATGTGTGGTTGCCTCTCATGTGCCCCCTCCTGGGGATCTGGCCCACAACCCAGGCGTGTGCCCTGACCAGGAATTGAACCAGCGACCCTTTGGTTCACAGGCCGGCACTTAATCCACTGAGCCCCACCAGACAGGGCTGAGTTGAGCATTTTCAAACTCACACTTAGGGCGTGTGAGATAAGCAAGAGAGTTTTCTTTGATCTGTAAATTATTTATTTGAAAGGTGTCACAAGATAATCAAAATCAAAATCACAAGTAGTCACACTCCTTAAATCCCATTTATTTAACAGAATAAGTTAGGCAAAATCCAAATGTCTCAGAAAATCCAGGACACATAATGGCTGCTAGAGTGATAGAAAGAGCAATGGAATCATGAGGACTATTTGCCCTGTGACCACGGACCAACCCCTTGCCTACTCTGAGCTTTGATCTCCTGACCTGCGCAACGAGATGTTTTCAACCATGTGATGGCATCCATCTCTGCTGGTATGGGATTCTATGGCTCTTGGCCAATCGGAAGTCCCCAGATTTGACCACTTGTCCCTAGAGGATAGTCCCTGACTCAGCAAATCATTTGCCATGTGACCATTTCCATCTAGAAACTCTCCATGAGCTGGGAGGCAGGTGGGGAATCCCCTTGATAACCAAACACTCCCAAGAGCCAACCACAGCTCGGTCCCTGGAGTCTTCAACTGAGCCTTTTCCAGGCTCAGCCTGGCTGGAAGCTGGTCAGGCACAAGGGCAGGACTCTTCTCCAAGGATGGGCACAGGCTCAGATGGGGAGGGTCCTTGGAAGGACCCGCCATCTCCCCCACTGCCCTTGGCACTCTGCCCACTCCCCTGTGAAGACACCGAGTTCTGGCAGGGGACTGGCCCCAGAGCCCCCAGTCTGTTTGTCCAGCTGCCCTCACATCCCCAGGGCACAAGGCTCTTGTTTATGTACCTTGGCCTGGAGAATGTTGTCAGGCATCTGGACACCCACCGGGTCCCAGCCCAGAACCAACACTGAGCGGAGGGAGGAGGGCTGGGCTGAGTCACATCTCTCTCTGGGCCGCCCCTCTTCTCTTCTGGGCAAATGAGACCAGATGATGTCTAAGGCCTCTTTAGCTGGGCAGTCCACACCTCTAGAGCAACAGTTAAGAATCTGGCTTTGAAGTTAGAATAGGTTTGAACCTGTCTAAGACCTCACGTATCCCAGGGCCTTGATGGACAATAAACACCCTCCCAACTAACTACACAAAAGTATAGTTTGTGTAAACCACACAATGATAACAGGGCTTCTTGACTTCTTACAAGAGAAGTCGGAAATCAAACTGCTTCTTCTTAGTGACAAGATGGAGATTTGTGCCTGAAGAACTGAGAAGTCCGTCTTCCCTTCAGGGTCCTTTGCAGCAGCTCATTTGTACGGGGTCTGGGGTACCTCCTGTAAAACTAGGGAGCCCTAACCAACAATAGTGTTCAGACACATGCCAAAACATCTGGTGATGAGAGGTGGAGGGTCAGTCAGTGAGAACCAGATTTCAGAGAGGGATAGACAGAGACCCCCAGTGGAAACACACCATAAAGGACAAAGGGTAGCCCACCCCGCACAAACAGTGGAGTCAGAGTATGGTGAGGAAGAATGTTGGAGGCACCCAGGAAGACCAGGGTCCCGCTTCGGCCCCTCCAGGTGGGCCTGGCCAGAGGAAGAGCTCCAATGCTTTAGAGCCCAAGCTATTCTGCTGTGTTCAGGCAAAATAGGGGGGAGGAGTTCTCTTCTTCACCTTGCAAACAGTTTCCCCACTCAAATGAGGGCCCGGGCCCTCCTAGAGCTGCCTGGGTAGGAGCCATCTGTATGACTGGAATACCCTTAGCCCAGCAGGGATGGGACTGATCATCTTTTAGGTTAGGGGTTCTCAACCTTAGCACTATTGGCATTTTGGGTCCAGGCAATTCCTGGTCGCGTGGTGCTGTCCCACGCATTGCAGGGTGTCCAGCAGCATCCCAAGACCCACTAGAAGCCAGTAGCACCACCACCCACAGTGATAACAACCAAAAATGTCTCCAGACATGGCCAAGTGTCCCCTGGGGGAGGCACAGAATTGCCCTCTGTGGGGAACCACTGTTCTCAGGATAAAATGTGCTTAGTCATATTTTCTCTCTAAAGTCAGTGTGATAGCCTTACGTTTTTACCAGAAATAAACAGTAAGTACAGCTTGTAGTCACTGAGCTATGAGGCATGGCCTACTTTAATACCTTTACCTGTATTGGCTCATTTAACCCTCCAACAACACAACAGGCCAGCACAACTATTCTCTCCTCCTTGCAAACAAGAACTCTGAGAAACAGAGGAGTTCATCAACTTGCCCCAGCTACACAGCCACTAAACGTAGAATGAGGATGTGGATTCAAGTAGGCTGATTCCAGCATCCATGTTTTACAATATGCCATATGCAAATGAAAAGCAAGAAGACATACTCAACCCGTGATCCAGCCCAGCAGATCCCATCCAATCACAGCTTGGCACAGCCCCGATCATGAGTGATCAGAACTCAGAAGCCAAGTGTTGGAGGAAATCAAGTGACTGTCTTAGAATTGTGGCTGAAAATAAACCAAGTTTCGGCTCATTGCGAAAAGAAAAAAGGGGTGGGGGTGACTGGAATCAGGGTGAGCTAGAAGGTTAGAGCTGAGGCACTGGAAGAGTTGACCCCAGTCAGGGATGTCTTGCTTTTTGGCACCTCTGGGCCACACTGGAAGAAGTAGAGTTGTCTTGGGCCACATATTAAATAATTGTGACACGTAATCACAAAAAAAGTCCCATAACGTTTTAAGTAAATTTATAATTTTGTGTTGGACTGCGTTCATCGCCATCCTGGGCTGCACATGGTCCACATGCTGTGGTTGGACACCCCTGAATCATGTATGATGTTGGTTTCAGGCTCCATTCCTTCGAAAGCAGCATCTGACCTATCTTGTTCCTTCAGTTGACCAAAGACATGGTCCTCTATGATGTGAGCTGTCCCCAGAAGACCAAAGACCAGGGTTGCCAATACAGAATGCCCACTCAAATTTGAACTTCAGATCAATGCATAATTTTTTAGTGTAAGTATGCCCCATGTGATTTTAGGAACATGATTACAGTTTAAAAAAAAAAAGTATTTGTTGATCTAATATTCACATTAATTGGGCATCTTGTACTCTGGCAACCCTTCCCAAAGATAGAGTGTTTGGATCCTGTCCACTAAAAAAGACAGAACCCGCTCACGAGACATACCACAGTTCTCAGAACCCAGTGTTATCACTAAGAGAAGACCAAAAGGTCCCAGCCTGTCCCCTCCTGCCCCCAGGCAGTCAACTCTTCCAGTGCCTCAGCTCTAACCTTCTAGCTCACCCTGATTCCAGTCACCCCCACCCCTTTTTTCTTTTCGCAATGAGCCGAATCTTGGTTTGTTTTCAGCCACAATTCTAAGACAGTCACTTGACTTCCTCCAACACTTGGCTTCTGAGTTCTGATCACTCATGATCAGGGCTGTGCCAAGCTGTGATTGGATGGGATCTGCTGGGTTGGATCACGGGTTGAGTATGTCTTCTTGCTTTTCATTTGCATATGGCATATTGTAAAACATGGAAGGGCTCCCCCAGTCCATCTCCTCCCACCACTCCCACCTCGGGCCACCATCTCCTGTCCTTTACACCCAAGTAAAAAATTCCACTGACACCAGAATAACTTGGAGGGTTAATCCTTCTAAAACTAAGTCACACTTTAACTCCGTTCCATCTCGCCAAAAATTAAATGCTGCCCTGTAGGGGTCGGAGCTACAGTAGACCCTGAAAGCTGAGTCTCCACCACGTAAGAAGACGCTGCAAGGGAAAGAAGGGAAAGGGAGGGACAGACGGGGAGGAGGGGGAAGGAGGGGCGCCCACCAGGCTGCTGTCCCCCCCACAGGGCCAGCTCAGATTCAGCGCTAGGAGCAACTCAGCTACAGGAACCACGGCAGCCCCTCTCCTCCGGCCAAGGACAGCAGGCAGACAGACACACAGACAGAGACCCCGGGACTGGAAGTCCTCAGCCCCTAGCCACGCGGCAGGGTCTGTTCCCCATGGCCTTCGATGACCTCCTGAAGCAGCTGGGGGGCGTCGGCCGCTTCCAGCAGATCCAAGCCTTCCTGGTGATCCTCCCCCTGCTCCTGTTAGCCTCCCAGAACACCCTACAGAACTTCACCGCCGCCATCCCCGCCCACCACTGCCGCCCACCGGCCAACGCCAGCCTCGGCAAGGGTGGGGAGCTGGAGGCCTGGCTGCCCCGGGACGGGCAGGGGCAGCCCGCGTCCTGCCTCCGCTTCACCTCCCCGCAAAGTGGGCCACGCTTTCCCAATGGCTCAGAGGCCAACGGCACAGCGGCCACAGAGCCCTGCATCGATGGCTGGATCTACGACAACAGCACCTTCCCTTCCACCATCGTGACTGAGGTGAGGATGCCTGGACCCCCTTTATGCACCATCTAGACTGCCTTCGCCTCTGAAATGGACAGACAGGCACACACACACACACACACACACACAATCTCCAATTCTCCAGAGGCCACAGTGGGCAGACAGACAAAGCTCAGGATGGAGGCCTTTATAGAAAAGGTGGATGGGGGAGCCAAGAACAGTCAGCTCCTGGGATCAGGGAGACAAACAGCGAAGAGAAGTGTCAGGGGAAGAGGACGACAGACCGCAAAGAGCCAGCAGGGCATTGGGGGGTGCCACCCCGCAGCTTGCGCTCATCTCTGCCTGACCTTGTCCCCTCTCCCCGCAGTGGGACCTCGTGTGCTCTCACAGGGCCTTACGCCAGCTGGCTCAGTCCTTGTACATGGTAGGGGTGCTTCTCGGAGCCATGGTGTTCGGGTACCTGGCAGACAGGTCAGTTCTGGGTAGGGCCAAGCGGCCGGGCTGTGACTGGGGGCCCCTCAGCTGGGCTTAGGGCCCTAGGTGGGAGGCTGGCACTCCCAGCTGAAGTTGCTTTGAGACCCTCCATCACCAGCCTCATGACACTTCACAGACACCCCCCGCAAGGACCTTACCTGGCGCCAGCACTCCTTTCCCTGCCCAGCCCAGCCCCCTTGGTCCTCAGGACCCCTGATAACAGGTCCTCCCTCTCCCACAGGCTGGGCCGCCGGAAGGTGCTGATTTTGAATCACCTGCAGACAGCAGTGTCAGCAACCTGTGCAGCCTTTGCTCCCAACTTCCCCGTCTACTGTGTCTTCCGGCTCCTCTCGGGCATGTCGCTGGCCGGCTCCACCATCAACACCGTGACCCTGAGTGAGGGATGCCGGGAAGGCAGGGCGGGTCCCTGACCACTTTCCTCTCACCACCCGCTTCCCAGCCTCCTCCCACCAGCCCACCCCGCTCAGCTCCACCTGCGTTTGGCCTGTCCTTTGGGTCTGCCCTTTCAGCCAACATAACAGCCTTTAGGGGAGCTGATGCCACCCTGACCCCTCATTTAGATATGGATTTGCAAACTCCATTGTTAGAGGCAGGCCCATCCTATAAATGACTGAAGCAGAGTAGGTACAAGAGGCATTAGGGGAAGGAAGGATGGTACCGGAGGGGCCACAGCCGGGGCTCAGGGCTGACAGATCTTGCCCCTTCCTTTTTATTAATGTCAACTATCCCTATTTCTTAATGTTGGCAACTCAGTCTAATATTTTTAACACAGGGCAAGCCAGCATCATGTCGACAGAACACCTATGGACTGAGCATGGCTTGTCCATAACCTGTGTTTCCCTTTCCTCGTGTTTCCCAGATGAGAAACCTGAGGCTGGGGAGAAGGGAAAGGATTTACCCAAGGTCATTGCTCAATCCCAGAAGGGGACCTAAGGATTTGGGATTCTCTGAACTAAAGGAATTAACCGGGACTAGGCTTGGGCTAGGGCCAGGGCAGGACACCTGGAGAACACAGCCCCAGGAGCCCCCCAGGAGCAGGGCCGGGCCCCTTCACATTGGCCGCAGGGAGGCGCCCTCCCTCCCACCTCCACTCTCCAGGACGGAGTGAGGCCGCCGCCTCCTCCCAGCTGCTCTGGCCACCGAGACTAAACTCCAGCCCAGGCTGAGGAAAACCCGGAGCCACGGCTGCTGTTGAGGATGAACTGAGTGGCCAGGAGCACCCTGAGGGGAAAGGAGGCCCTAGGGTGGCGCGGGGAGGGGCAAACACACAGCAGAGGGGTGGAGGGGACAGTTCCTAGGCCTCCCACACCCGCCTCTCTGTCCTGGCCTCCACTGAGCTTCCTCCACTTTCCCTGCTTGGCGCGCACCCTCATTCCATGGGACAGGCCACGGTTTGGATGCAGAGAAGGGCCTTCGCCTGCCCCAGGGCCTCCACCCACCTGGCAGTCCAGGGAGTTGCATTGTTCTGTTCTAACCCTCTTTCCAGATATGGAGTGGATGCCCATCCACACACGGGCTTTCGTTACCACCCTGAATGGCTATTTCTACAGCATTGGACAGTTTCTCCTGGCCGGCCTGGCCTATGCTGTGCCTCACTGGCGCCACCTGCAGCTGCTAGTCTCGGTGCCTTTCTTCGCCGCCTTCTTCAGCTCCTGGTACATGGGGACCAGGGTGGGCGGGGGTGCCACAAAAGCCCAGGGGTCTGCAAGGGACAAGATGTCATCCCAGATCTTGCCCAATGCCCCACTCCACAGAATCAGAGAAGGTCAAAGCCAGAAGATCAAAGCCAGACCAATGCCTCAGTCTGACAGATGGGGAAATGGGGTGTGGGGTGGGGATTTGCCCTGAGGTGTCCAGTTCTCTGGCTTTCCCCAGTTTCCCTCGGGTCTCCAGGCCCTGTTCCGCGCCCTTCACCCAGGCCCCCAGAGCTGAGTTCCTGAGTTGCACAATGAGTCATCACCAAATTGGGCCCTGCTGCTTTGTGGCCCAAAAGAGATGGATTTGACAAAGCCCCTGGGTCCCCAGACTTAAGTAAAACCCCACCGCAGGCCCCTAGAAGGCCCACCCCCTTCCCCCAGCCCAGTGAACTGGAACTGAAGCCACGCCGACACCCACGCCCACCCTGCTCCCAGGTTCTTCATGGAGTCAGCCCGCTGGTACGCCACCTCCGGGAGGCTGGACCTCACCCTGAAGACCCTGCAGAGAGTGGCCCGGATCAACGGAAAGCAGGAAGAGGGGGCCAAGCTGAGCCTGGAGGTGAGGCTCCCAGTGCTTCCCTGACACTGCCCAGGGTTCCGCTCCCAAACCCCGGCCTCAGGACCCAGAGGGACCTTCCCCGAGTAAGGGGCTAGGCTGAGCGGAGCCCCTGGGGGCCCAGGCTCTGAGCCCTGCCCGTCCTGGCAGGTCCTCCAGTGCAGTCTGCAGAAGGAGATGGCCATGGGCAAAGCGCAGGCCTCGGCCACGGAGCTGCTGCGCTGCCCCACCTTGCGCCGCCTCTTCCTCTGCGTCTCCATGCTGTGGTAGGCCCGGACGGACGGACAGACAGACAGCTGTTCGGGGAGAGAATGCATGTCCTGGGTGGGAAAAGTCAGACAAGAGGGAGGAAAAGTCAGCGCGTCTGCTGTGAGGGCAGAAACCCTGCACCAGGGAGAGTCCTGAAGGACCGGCTGACCTCCATCCTCAGTTCAGCTCGAGTCCCAACGGGGCATCGACGTCTCCCTCGCCTTCTCCTTTTATCAACTCTGTTCCCATATAAAATAGAAAAACCTCACCAGGATCAGTGGCCCCCAGAGTCCACAGAAGGACATCGTGAAGCAGAGACCAGTCAGGCTTGCAAAGCATCCGGAGGTTGACCTGGCCGTGGCCAGAAGCACAGGCGTGGCAATAGGATGCCGAAAGCTCATCTCCAAATGCACGCTTTGGTGAAGGCTGCTTTCAGCCAAATGTCTGCCTGTCCCGTGGCAGCACGTCCGATACCCTTCTATGGCTACCTTCTTGGGCCCATCGCCGTAGCAACCCCATGACAGTTCGGGGGGGTGTGATCAAAAGGAACAATCCCATCAACGAATTCTTTATTTCTGATTCTGGATTTGTTCCAGGTTGTGGGTTTCAATCAATAACCTGAGCTTCGTTTTGAGGGCTTTTGACATCGTCAGAAGCACCACGCCTGTCCCAGCGCCATGGACAGGTCCTGGGAGGCCATGGCCGCTCCCAGCGCCTTGGCCCTGGACACATGGCTCTGCTGTCCACCTGTCCTTCCTCAGCCCAGTGTCAGTAGATAAGAGAAAGACTGAAACCGTGTAAATCCCACAGAGCAACCAAGTGACAAAATTGGGAGTATTGAAGGACTACCCCGATGTTTAAACTGGATACTCATGTCTGAAGAAGGATTAGCCAAGGAGGCACATCCCAGCTCCTTACTAAGCAGGGTGCTCAGTGCAGCTCACTCCTGCTTTGAAAGAACACCCCGCCTCTTAAGCCTTCTGAACAAACTCCGAACCCCTCCTCTCTCCCCGCTAGGTTTGCCACTAGCTTTGCCTACTACGGGCTGGTCATGGACCTGCAAGGCTTCGGGGTCAGCATCTACCTCATCCAGGTCATTTTCGGAGCTGTGGACCTGCCTGCCAAGTTGGTGTGCTTCCTGGTCATCAATTCCCTGGGCCGCCGGCCTGCCCAGGTGGCCTCCCTGCTCCTGGCCGGCATCTGCATCCTGGTCAATGGGGTGGTACCCCAGGGTGAGCACTCAGGCGCGCTGGTCCTGCTTTGGCCTCACCCCCAGGCACCACTCCACTTCTTACAATGGAGGGGGACCGATTCCTCCCAGCCCCCACTCTCAAGGTCCTGCTGGCCCCTCCTTTCTCTCCAGATCAGTCCATTGTCCGAACCTCCCTCGCTGTGCTGGGGAAGGGCTGCCTGGCGTCCTCCTTCACCTGCGTCTTTCTGTACACTGGGGAGCTGTACCCCACCATGATGCGGTGAGTGGGAGCCTCATGAGGAGTCTTGGGGTAAAACATTCCTCCACACACAGGTCAGACCCCAGAGCAGGGCCCAGTGTGCCCCCGCCCAAAACCCCTTCATGGCTCCCATCAGCGCAAGGTGCATAGCAGCCACTCAGTGCACACTTGGTGGCCTGGCCAACACAGATGGGACTACCAGCTAAGCCCTTACCTGACCCCGGAAGAAGATCTCAGAAGGTGGCGCAACTTAGGCAGGAGAGGGAGCCAAGCCACATCTCAGAGGCAACGAATTGAAGTCCCCCCTTGATCTGACACCAAATCTAAATTCTACCTGTACAGCAAGTGGTACGTCTGAAACCAAAGACCACAAACATGAAAGTTCTTTCCCATCACTTAATAATGGGAGGGTTGATGATATGCCAGCTGCCTGGACAAACACAGCAGGGCTTTTCCAAGGGTCCAGATTCAGCAGAGGGAGGGTCTTTGAATTAAGAAATGAGAAACGCGTGCATGTGTTAAGAATGGGATGCAGCCCTGGCTGGTGTGGCTCAGTGGGTTGAGTGCCAGCCTGTGAACCAAAGGGTTCAATTCCCAGTCAGGGCACATGCCTGGGTTGCTGGCCAGGTCCCTGGTTGGGAACGACCAGTCGATGTATCTCTCACACACTCATGTTTCTCTCCCTCTCTTTCTTCCTCCCTTCCCCTCACTTTGAAAATAAATAAAATCTTAAAAAAAAAAAAAAAAAAGAATGGGATACAAAATTAACATGAGATGTCAAAGAAATGTCAGGCTTCCCAGAGCCGCTTGGTTTGAGAACCGTGAGGGGTCATAGTTACTGAACTGAGCCCTCATGAGATGTCAGGGGGAAGAATAATCGTATAAACCACTTACTATGTGCTAGGTGTTGTCTTAAACTTTTTACAAATATCAACTCTTTCAATCCTCATAACAAACCTAGTAGGTAGGTATTAGAATTATTTGTTTCACAAATGCAAAAACTGAACCACAGTTAAGTGACTTGCCCAAGGTCATACAACTTGCAAGCGGAAAAAGCTTGGATTTGAATCCAAGCAGTTTGTCTCCTGAGTCAATGCTTTTAACCTCCTCCCTCAGAGAGAATGTTCTTAACTTGCACATTCCGGACCCTTTCCCTGGGGATTCTAATCCACCTACCAGGCCTGTCTGTGTGGGGCTGGAGCAAGTGTAACTCAAAAATCCCCCAGCCGATCTGAAAGCGATGGGCCTCGCTCAGCTGTCCGAATGGACTGCTAAGGAAACCGAGGCCCAGAAGGGAGAGCGGACTTGCCTGAGGGCTCACAGCAGCTTAAAGGCAGAGGCAAAATCTGTCTCCTGGCCCTCTGGCCAGAGCCCTTCCCAACCTGTTTTTCCTCCTCTTCTTCTTCTTTTAATCTCTAAAACAAATGCTCCGTTGGTTTGTTAATCCAGTGGGGGAACAGAACACTAACCAGCACCCACCCGCTTTGGGCCCCACAGACAGATGGGCCTGGGAATGGGCAGCACCATGGCCCGGGTGGGCAGCATCATGAGCCCGCTGGTGAGCATGACGGCCGAGCTCTACGGCCCCATGCCTCTTTTTATCTTCGGCATCGTCCCCGTGGCTGCCAGCGCTGTCGTCGCCTTCCTGCCGGAGACCCTGGGCCATCCACTGCCGGACACCGTGCAAGACGTGGAAAACAGGTGGGCCCCCACCCAGCGAGGGGCAGGGACTTACCCCAGGTCACAGAGCCAGGCCGCAGTGTCACTGAGACTCAAACCCAGGCCTCCTTTTCCCGGCCAGGGCTCTTTGTCCCTGGTCCCCCAGTTGGCGGAGTCTCCTAGAGCCCTTTCAGGGGTTCCCAGCTTCAGGGACTGGTGGGTGTTTAAGGCAGAGAGCGGGCGGCTGGGCACAGGGTCCCCCGCTGCCGGCCCGGCCTGAGAGCTGCAAACCTAGGGCCCTGCTCTCCCACCCCCAGGAGGAGAGGGAAGCCCCAGCGACAGCAGCGAGAGCAACAGAAGCAGATGGTCCCACTTCAGCTCTCGGCACAAGAGAAGACAGGACCCTGAGCACTGAGAATGGGCCTCCCAGAGCCCTGCAGGGAGCAAGGGTCCGCCAGGTCCTGGGCCACCCACACAGGAGGGAGAAGGGGGGATGGCAGCCCAAGGGCTGGGGGCTGTGGTTCCGGGAAGCCCCTCCCCAGGGGCTCTCCTCTCTGAATAGAATCCGCCAAGACCACGTCATTAAAAGGTTCACCTGTGTGCAGCACCTCTCTTTGTCTGTCTTGTCTCAAAGGGAACAGCCGCTCCACCTCAGCCAGCTTCCAGCCCAAAAGGTAGTACAGTCCAGTCCCTGCCCTCAGCTCCCAAGACTTTACAAGCCATCCCAGGCCTCGCCGCCCCCAGCACCTCCCGCTCCGAACCGGGGCCTTTGGCCCCCGTGTGTCTGCTCTGGCACGGCGTGATCTTCCAAACTTCATCCTCGAGGGACACCCCCAGGAAAAATCAGTCACCTCAGATTCCTTGATGGGCACGAGGAGAAGAGGTATATCTCCTCCAGGGACTTGATCGTCATGTCCTTGACCAGGCGGCCCAGCTTGGTGACAGGGACCCACTCCCTGTCCTCAGCCTTGCCTCCTCGAGCTCTGTGACCCTGATCCCAACCCCAGCCGTGACCTCAGCCCAGATGCCACTTCCAAATCCTCCAGGAAAGCCGCCTCGGCCTCCCATTCCAGGCCCCCTTGGGAAAAAGCACTCTGACCTGTGTCCCCAAGGAGCCATCCCCGGGACACTGGCTTGCGTCCCACCCCCTCTCCTCTGAGCCGGAGTTCTGATATATGTCACACCTCACTCCAGCGGCCTTAGATGCTCTGTCCGGTTTTTGACCACCATGTGCTATCCTCAGCCTCAGCTGGGAAGGCCTTTGTGACCACCCTGTGTCTCCCCCGCAGCTCTGAGCATGTCCGAGCCAGGACGGCACGTTCAGGAGCTTCCCCAACCGCAGGACCCCAGGACTCCGTGCTGTAAGGAAATGCGTTGTGCTGCTTTAAGCCACTAATTTTGTGGCCATTTGTTACAGCAGCAGTCAGAAACTAACGCACATCCCGTATCCTCCGACTCCTCCAGGGGTGACAAACTGGCCCGCAGAGGCTTTATTTCCTCATGCACAGTGTTGTGCTGCCTGGATCACCAGAGTCTTCACCGTTCTCTAGTGCTCACACATTTATGTTATCCTCTGGCCTTGTAACCATTTAAGTCTCTGTTAAACCCCAACCTTACTTTCATATGTTTTTGAAGCTATAGAAGGGCTTTCACCATAGGTATTGGGAGCAAAAGGAAAGCCCTGGACAGACCCCATTGCCCATTGCTCCTCTTCCAAGAAAACCATCCAATGATGTTCTTTTAGCCATGTTTCGTGTTATAGTCAAAGAACGGTAGTGGACTCCTTTGCCAAAAGCTGGAGTAATAAGCTAAGTGAACCTGAGACTCAGTTTCCCCAGCCAGTTCAAATGAAATCTTTTGCCCATTCTCCTAAACTCCTACCCCAAGAGAAGTAGCCCAAGTAGCAAGTTCCGCATGAGATACATGCGGGAAAGAAACCAGGCAGCCTGTTGGGACCTGAATTGGTCAGGGTCTTTTTGTTTCTTTTTCTTTCCTTTTTTTTTCTTTTTGTTCTGCACACTGTTTTCTTTTTAACTTTACAATGCACCATAAACATTATTCCCTGCTATGGATGGAAATCTGCTACAGGAACATCAAGGGCTACAATTGGACAATGACAGTGACAACTAAAGCCGAGCATTAGCGCCCTGACCGGTGTGGCTCAGGGGGTTGGGCGTCATCCCACAAACCGAAAGGTCCTCGGTTAGAGGTTCGATTCCTGGTGATGGCACATGCCGGGGTCGCAGGCCGGGTCCTCCTTTGGGGGCATGCAAGAGACGACTGATCCATCGGTGTTTCTCGCCCTCTCTTTCTCTCTCCCTTCTCTTCTCTCTAAAAATAAATAAATAAGTAAATAAAGCGAAGCGTTAGTGTGAGGTTAAAGCCGGGGCCTGGCTAACACCTGCTGGGGGCACCGCACTAAAGGAAGGCCTTTTCAAAGCCCCTGTACAGGGCCCTACAGTCGCTCCTGAGTTCCCTTGGGCGCCTCAGGTGGGAGGGGTCCTGCAAACGTTTCTGCATCCACATCAACCTCCCCACTGATTTTTGTCTTGTTTTCTGCACCTTGTCCTCCACCCCAGCCATCTCGTCAAAGTCTCGTCCCATTTCCTCAGTGCTGCCCAAATGCTCGCCGTGTACGCGCTCCCTGTGTTCCTCGCGGCTCTGAGCCAGCCCCGTGGTGGTTTTGCTTTTGGCTCTCCGGGTGTGTCATCCCCAGCTGGGCGCCTTCCTGCAGCCCTTGGTCCCACAGCTGCTTTTCCCTCTTCTTCTGGCTTTCCCTCTTTCTCTGGGTCTTCCTTCTCCTCATCTCCTCTTTCCTTTGTTTTCTCTCTTTCCCTCGTTCTCCAACTTTTGCTTGTTTTCCAGAGCGCCCACTACTTCTGGCTTTCCCGCTCTCTAAAGCTGTTCACTTTCCACCTTCCCTTGGTCCTAGGCGATCCTTCCTTTTCCCTGTAGTTTTTCCATGTTGAGATGACCCCCACCTTCCTGTCCTGCAGCTATTCTGGGCAGGGTCCCCCTTTCCTAGCCTAGCTCAGTGCTCAGGACAGCAGACACACAGACCTGGAAGAAGGTGAAGCAGGCAGCTCGGGGTGTGGCCACAGTGAGCAAGACGGGCTGGTGCCTGGACTCTGAATTGGTCAGGGTGTAGATTTAGGCATCTACCGGCCATGTTGAGTCTGGTGGGATACCTGGAACTGCGGCAGCCACCCTGTGACCCAACAGGGACACCAGAGCAAGAACTTAGGCAACAATTGAGAGTAACAGAGTGGAGAGATGGCACTAACCTGCGGTTGGATGATGTCATGGAGCTGCTGATTTAATGGGGCCAAAGCCACTTGCCTCTACTCTAATCGTTAATTTTAGGAATTCAAGTTTAAATCCTCCTTCTTTCTCCCTGGCTGGTGTAGCTCAGTGGACTGAGCTCCAGCCTGTGAACCAGGGGGGCTGCCCGTTTAATTCCCAGTCAGGACACATGTGTGGGTTGCAGGCCAGGTCCCCAGTAGGGGGCACACAAGAGGTGACCACACATTGCTGTTTCTCTCCCTCTCTTCCTCCTTCCCTTCCCCTCTCTCTAAAAATAAATAAATAAATAAACCTAAAAAAATTAATCCTCCTTCTTACTTAAGTTATTATTAGTTGGTTTTTCTGTGATCTGCAGCCAAACACATATTAACTAATTTATTTTACAGCTTCATTGAAATATAATAATTAGTTGCTCATATTTACAGTGTACATTTTGATGAGTTTTGACAGAGGCCTACATCCATGAAACAATCCAGCACAACCAAGACAATGAATATATCCCTTACCGCTGAAAGTTTCCTCATGCCCCTTCGTTGTGTGGACATAGGCTACTTCTATTTCTTTTTTTTCTTACAATTTTAATTATTTACTTTTAGAGAGAGGGAAAGGGAAGGAGAGAGAAAGGGAGAGAAATATTGATGTGAGAAAGAAACATCAATCAGTTGCCTCTCGCACATGCCCCATCCTAGGACCAGGCCAGCAACCCAGGCATGTGCCCTGACCAGGAATCGAACCAGCGAACTTTCCCTTTGTGGGACGACATTCAACCAGCTGAGCCACGCCAATCAAGGCTTAAGCAAATGTAAAGGAGTGGGATTGCTGAGTCATATGTAAGGTGTATGTTTAACTTTTTAAGAAATAAACAATATTGCAAAGTGGTTATAACATTTTACATTCCCACCAGCTGTATGTGAGAATTCCAGTTACTATACATCTTTGGCAACACTTGGTAAGATCGATTCCTTAAATTTTAGCCATTGTAGTAAATGTGTAGTGGAAACTTACTACAGTTTTATTTTGCACTTCCCTAATAGCTAATGATGTTGAGCAAATTTTCATGTGCTTATTTCCATGTAGATCTCTTCTCTGGTAAAGTATTCAAAAATTTTGCACTTTTAAAAATTTGATTGTTTGATTTCTTATGATTGAATTGGAAGGTTTTTTTTAATGTATTCAAGAAACAGGTCCTTTGCTAGATATAGTTTCTCCAAGTTTATAACTTGGCTTTTTATTTTTATAGCAATGACTTTTGAAGGTTACCTTTTAATTTTTACAACAGTGCTTTTGAATAACAAAAGTTTTAAATTTTTGATGAAGTCCAGTTTACTGGGGGTTTTTTCTTTTATAGTTCATGCTTTTTGTGTCTTATTTTTAAAATGTTTGCCAAATTCAAAGACACTAACATTTCCTCATATGTTTTCTTACAGAAGTTTTATATTTTTAACTCTTTTATTTAAGTCAGTGATCCATTTTGAGTTATCTTTGTACAAAATGTGATGTAAGTAGGCGGGGCTCATTGTTTTTTGCATATGGATATCTCATTGTTTCAGCACCAGCTGTTGAAAGCTTTTCTTTTCATCACTGAATTATCTAGATACCTTTGTCAAAGACCAAATGGTTATGTGCGTGGCTCTATTTTTAGACTCTCTACTCTGTACCATTGATCCATTTCTTTTTGTCTTTACACAAATACCACACTGTCTTGACTACGATAAGTTTATAATTAGTCTTCAACACAGACAGTGTCGATTTTTCAACTTTTTAAACTTTTTCAGAGTTGTTTCGGCTAGTCTAGATCCTTTGCATTTCCATATAAATTTGAAAACCCACCTGTAACTGTCTACCAAAGTAACCTGCTACACTTTTGATTTGTATTAGATTGTTCTATAGATCTTCTTGGGAATAATTGACATCTTAACAATATTGAGTGTTCCAATCCATGATATTGTGCTCCATTTACGTAGAGCATTTTAAATTTTCCTCAGCAATGTTTTGTAATTTTCAGTGAACAGGTCTTTCCTGTATTTTATCAAATGCAACCCTAATAATTTTTATGCAATTATTAGTGATATTTTTATTTCAATTGCTGATCGTTTGTTGCTATTACATGGAAATACACTTGATTTTTGTATATTTACCTTGCATTCTGCACACTTGCTAAAATCACTCATTAGTCCTAGTAGTTCGTTCTTTCTTTCTTTCTTTCTTTCTTTCTTTCTTTCTTTCTTTATTTTTTAGATTCTTTGGGATTTTCTGTGCAAACAATCATGATGTCTGCAAATATAGGCAGATTTCCTTCTTTCCTTTCTGGAATGCCTCATTTTTTTTTTTTTTTTTTTTACTTACATTATTACACTCTATGGACCCTCCAATACAATGTTGAATAAAAGTGGTGAGAGTGAGTATCCTTGTTTTGCTCCTTAACTTAGGAAGAAAGCATTTACATCTTTCCCAAGTAAGTGTAGTGTAGCTATAATTCTCCCATAGATGTTTCTTTTCAATTTGGAAAAGTTCCCTTTCATTCCTAATTTACTGAGAAGTTTTGTCATGGATATTATAGATGCTGAATTTTGTCAAATCCTTTTTTTGCATCTATTGAGATGATCATATAGTTTTTCTTTTTTCGTCTATTACTATGGTAAATTACATGAATTGGTTTTAATGTTACACCGACCTTGCGTTCCTGGGATAAACCCCACTTTGTCAAGATGCATTACTATTGTTATACATTGTTGGTTCAAATTTGATTAACTTATGTTAACAATTTTGCATTTCTGTTCATAAGAGATATTGCTCCCTCGTTTTCTTTTACTGTAATGTTCTTGTCTAGTTTTAGTATCAGAGTGTTATGACTGAAAGTCGGCGTCTGTGTTGGAATCTAAGCCCCAGTGGGAAGGTACCTGGAAATAGGGCCCTCGTGAGGTAATTAGAGCATGAGGTGGAGCCCCCATGAATGGGATCAGTGCCCTTACAAGAAGAGGGCAGAGAGCTCGCTCTCCCTCCCCCATATGTGAGGGTACAATGAGAAGTTACCCTAGCCCATCTGGCCCTGGCCAGGCAACTCAGTTGATTAGAGCATCATCTGAATACACCAAGGTTGCATGTTCAATCCCCAGTCAGGGCACGTACAGCTCCATGAGGCTCAGAATGTCATTCAGAAAAGGGAGCAAAGGCCAGGCTTCAAGCTCACACCCACTGGGGCCTCCCTGCCTGACCTTAGTATTTTCCCTTCTTCTGCAAGGAGGTCACCTGTTCTGGCCTAGTCAGGAGACTCAAACCACCAAACCGTGGGGCATCATGCATGACTCTCCTTCAACTTGACCTGCTGTTTAGGTCCCTTTGAGCAAACCATTAACACAGTGAGTCTAAGGAATTGAATGTCTTACTCTCAAATCATAGTTTAACTTGATTCCTTAAAAACAAACCAAAAAAAAGTTATAAAAACTACTACTGGCCATGAGGAGGCCCAGAGCTACAGCAGACCAGGAACTGATCGGTTAAAGAGACAAAGGGCAGCCCTTCGCTTCCTCCCCGCACTCCGCACTCCACACCAAAAGACAGAAACAGTTTTGGGGAGCAGGAGGCCCTCCCCCAGTTGTCCTGCCTCATGGCCTTCGATGACCTCCTGAAGCAGCTGGGGGGCGTCGGCCGCTTCCAGCAGATCCAGGTGACTTTGCTGTTCCTCCCCCTGCTCCTGCTGTTCTCCCATATCACCCTACAGAACTTCACCGCCGCCATCCCCGCCCACCACTGCCGCCCACAGGCCAACGCCAGCCTCGGCAAAGGTGGGGAGCTGGAGGCCTGGCTGCCCCGGGACAGGCAGGGGCAGCCCGCGTCCTGCCTCCGCTTCACCTCCCCGCAAAGTGGGCCACGCTTTCCCAATGGCTCAGAGGCCAACGGCACAGCGGCCACAGAGCCCTGCGTCGATGGCTGGATCTACGACAACAGCACCTTCCCTTCCACCATCGTGACTGAGGTGAGGATGCCTGGACCCCCTGCCCCTCCCCTCTTCCAACTCCTGTATCTCCATCTTACCAGTCCCAGACACAGATCACATGACCCTGACCTGAGCCGGTCTGAATGTGGGAAGACCCTGGAGCTGTGAAGAGCTTCGCCTCGAATATAAGAGAACAGTGGTTGGAGTTTGGGGGCTTCCTATAGAAGAGACATGGAAGTCCTCGCAGAAAGGCTGCTCTCTGACCTTTTGCCCCCACCAGAGAGAGACACTATTCCAGGAATTTAATATTTTCCTTTGGTTTCCCTGGGATAGAGAGGTAGGGAGGTGCTACAGAGGGAGGAGGAGAGGAGACGTGCAGGTGGCTGGGAGATACGGGGGTATTCCCGAGCAGGGAATTCTGGGCTCCGAGTCCTTGAGACAAAAACGGTGTTCTGACTTCATCTAGAAATAGCTCTCAGCAGCTGAGACCAGGAGATGGCAAGCAACCAAGGGGGGAAAAACAAAAAGGAGAACAGGGTTATGAAGGTCCTTTCATCTCTAGCGATTGAACACCCCTTCCCTATAACACACACACACACACACACACACACACACACACATTTGCAGAGTCACCCTGGCCTGCTGAGCGGTTCATCCAGCTGAATTCTGCACTTCGTAGCTGTCACATTAACCATGTTCTTAGCATCTGTTCTAGTTAATGGTCTTTTGGTTGCAAGAAAGAGAAGCTCTCCCCAATCAGCTCATGAGAAAAGGGGGTGTTACAGCAAGGCTCAGAGATTTCAGGGGATCCAAGGACAGCAAATGGAGTGTGTCCAGACCCCATGAAGACTGGAACCAGACATTGGAGCACACAAGGCATCTCTATATCCTTACTCCGTTCCTGTCTGCTCTCAGCCCATCTCTTCTGTGTGCTCACCTTGCCAGAGGACTGCCTGTCCCACCTCTGATCCATTACCTCTCAGATTTAGGGTCCCCCAATTTGATTTAAGATTTGTGTATCTTAAATCAACTTCTCCGAAAAGTCTCTGATTGGCTCAGCACAGCACATGGATGGGCTCATCCCCTCCGACAGACGGCTCAGATGTCCGCACCTCATCTAGTCTCCTGCCGAGGGGCAGTGTCGCGGGACCATGTGGCCCCTTGCCCATTAGTCAGGGCTGTGGTCAGGCACAGTCACCCAACTTGCCTCATGTGGCATCTGTCTGAAACTGATCAAAGTCAAACCATACTGCCACCAGAGAAACCCAAGACAGAAGCAGAAGGTGACTCAATATGGCTAGTCTCCCTCCTTCAGAGACATGCATGTATCAAATGCTGTCCCTTCCGTACCACACATCGGGGGCTTTCTTCGTCACTCTCCAGACTCAGCCCAAGTTCTGAGACATCCGCATCCACACACCTGAACTTGGATCTCACCGGTCCTTCTAAATCTGCTTCCCTGTTTCCCTTCTTAAAACTTTGTACTCCGCTTTCCAAGGTCAACTGTACTCCAGGAACTGTCAGGAACTGTCTTGGTCTTCTGTTCAAAAAGCAGGCAGCTTGATCCAAAAGCTCAGATTTCTTGCCATCTACAGCAAAGAATCTAGGTCAGCAAACACTTTGGATTTTCTTCTAAATAAAGACTTGGTAGTAATCTCCTCATCATTTTTGGTTTCAATGACTGACAAAGCCCGATGCACAGTTAGGCCATTTGCTGAGACGTATGGAGGTGCCAGGAATCTTCTCCCAGTAGGCACCGTGGATGGGACCATCATCCGCCACAGCACATGGGCACGGGACTCTGAGAGGCCTATCTTATAAGCACAGCCAGGTTACCTCTTCCTTGGACCAATAATGTCAAAGCCTACAGCGGCCCCAGAGAAGGTTTCGTTCAGGAAACAGGCAGTTTACGGGCATAGCCTAATGTGAGGCTGGACCCTCCAGGGTGTGGAGCAAATGAAACAGCTCACAAGTTAAAGAGCTGCTTCAGCAAGACACTTTTTTCTTTTAAAGACTTTATTTATTTTTTTTTTAGAGAGAGGAAGGGAGGGAGAAAGAGAGGGAGAGAAACATCAATGCCTCTCACGAGTCCCCTACTGGGGACCCGGCCCCCAACTCAGGCATGTGCCCTGACTGGGAATTGAACCAGTGACCTTTCGGTTCGCAGGCCGGCACACAATCCACTGTGCCACACCAGCCAGGGCGAGACACTGAATCACAATGAAGACACTCCACCCAGGCACAATAGCGCAGGTCACCTGAGAAAGAAAAGTTCCGGCTTGCCCCTTGGAAGGAAAATGGCCCAATATTCAACAGAGTTACTTCAGCACTCTGAGTACAAAGCAAAATATCAATAAATATAACAAGAAAAAGAGGCTGGCTGTGGGTTATAATGAAAACCCTGGCTGAGTGCTTCTCCCTATCTTCTTCTGAATTAAAATACCCTGAGCAACAACTAGCAGCTTCCATCTGCTCTGTATTAGTCAGGGCTCTTATTTGCAAGTGACTGTAATTCAACTCAAGCTAATCTGAGCATAAAAAGAGGGTATAAAGGCTCCCATACCTAAACCACAAGACGAGCAGAAGTGGAAATGGCTCTAGGGACAGTGGGAACCAGGCCTGTGGGTGACATCAGGACGCTGGCTGGTCTCATCTCTGCTTTTCTTCGTGTCCTGGGTGTGTCTACCACGCACACGGTCATTCACAAGGTGGCCACTGATCATTCTGGGCTTATTCCTAATAACTTCCTCACCAAAGAGAAAGGTTTCTGTCTCCCAGTTCCAAATTTGAAAAATCCTAAGAAAGACTGATTGGCCGGCTTGGGTCATGTGCCTACCCCTTGGTCCAATGACTACAGGGCAGGGAGGGCATGGGTTCTTATGTATGACCCAGCCTGAGTCTCCTCTTCCTTCCTGTTCTGCAGATGATTGGGAGCTACCATTTCCCCTCTCTGCTTTCTGTTCTTTTTCTCCTTTTCTTTCCCCTGGGGCCAGTCTCATAGCATCTGTCATTTATTGTAGCCTTCATCAAATTAGCCGTGCAGGGCTCTCGTAGGCTCAGTGATTCTCTGAGTCTCCCCAAAATACTATTCCTAGACTTTGGTTCCTGTTAGTAATAAAGTAATTCTCTATACAAGAGGCCCGGGAGCACCCTGGCCAGTGTGGCCTAGTTGGTTGGAGCATTGTTCCATAACCGGGAGGTTGCAGATTTGATTCCCATTCAGGGTACGTGCCACGGTTGCGTGTTCAACCCCCAGTCTGGGTGTGTACCAGAGGCAATAAATAGATGCTTCTCTCTTGCACTTATGTGCTTCTTTATCCCTTCCCTTCTTTCTAAAAAGCAATGAAAGAATGTCCCTGGGTGAGGATTAAAAAAAAAAAAAAAAGAGCAAACAAGAGGACCAGGAGCACATAGAAATACTTGATCCTCAGGGGTTTCAGGTGCACATGTAGAGAGCTCAGGCGGTGCAACCTTTGCTTTTGCAGGTGAGGAGACCCTAGAGCAGACCACAGGCGGGGAGACTCTGAGTTATTCCGTACTCGTTGATTTGTTTCTAACCTGGACTATGTACAGAACTCATCACGAGACGGTACCCCTTGCAGCCCTCTGACTTATTACCTCTTTCCCACACCCTCTTGCTTCTTACCCTTTCATTTCTTCATCCGCATCTGCAATACCCTTAGCCCACTCACCGCAGTGTTTCCCACATCCATCCCCACAGTCACGCTCCGTTCACGTGTTTCCAGCAAAATACTGTGAGGATGAATTCTCAGCCTGACACAGCCCCAGAATCATTCCCAAGTAAAAGCTGTATTAGACAACACTTAGAATTACAGAAGAACAGCTATTTGAATGAAACAGCTATAAAGTCCGTCACTCTTTGAAAAAATGTGTTCAAATGCCAACATCCCAAATTCCATATCACGTGGTAGGTGCATCCACAGGGTATTAAAAGTCCTACAGTAGTAAGTTTATTCAAAAGTAAGGATTTCTCTCCAACAAAATCAAGACTATCAAGTAACTACTCTTGAAAGAGGAATTCCTTGGTTACATATTAACATGTTAGGAGACAGTCCCCAGTAGTCTTGGTCATTTGAACTCTTTTTCTTTTTTTTTTCTTTTTTTTTTTTTTTGATTAACAAGAGAAATTGCAGTTTAAAAATCCATTCTAAAGTATTAAAAAATCACTCTTAATTGTAAAGGAAAGGCCATATCTATTTATCATTTTGACTCAATCTTAATGGCACGTCCATCAGCAGGGTGGCTTTCTTGTGGGGTGTCCAACTGTTTTACTCCATCTAGAGAGAAAGCACTTTCAAAATGACAGGGGTTTTTCCTTATATTAATTAAAAGAGCAACAACACGTAAACTACCAGTTGTACTATCCAATTGCTGTTTATTTCAAAGCTGGAAATAATCACAACTCTCTCAAGTTTGCTTATGGAAAGTTAATGGAAGGATGGAAGAGTATTTCACAGAATCCAAGGTCAAGAACGCAGGCCCAGCCCCATGAGAGTCTGGGAGGAAATAGCTGAAGAGGACTGAGAGCTGGACTCTCTCTCTCTGCTTCTCTGGCACTGACCGAGCTCTCCCCTGACTTCCCTCTGACTCAATTACTTCATTCTTCTTCCTCCTCCTCCTCTCTCTTCCATGTTTCTCACTCTCTGTCTATCTCTACCTCTAGCTCTTTCTCATGTTTCTGAGCTCCACTTCTATATCATTCCAAAATTTGGCCATCCCATCCCAACTTTAGGTGTCCTGAAAACCCTTGCTTCTCTGAGTCCATTTCCAAAGTTATAACAAGATGATTCTGATTAGCTCAAGCCGGCTCCAGCGTCAGGTTTCTTCAGGTGTGCAGGGCAGGGATGGCTTCGGGGGCCTTGGGAGAGGGTGAGCCATTGGTGCTCAGAGAAGGAGGAATAGTCTAAGCAGGTGCCAGGAGAGACACCTCTTACATGTTTTGAAATAATTTGATAAGAAAAATTGTCTAGTAGGGGGAGAGAGGCACTCCTTATGTGCTGGTCTCAAACCAAGACCCTCAGCCCCACGGGGAGAGAGGGAGTGGGGCTTCCCAGGGACCAGCCAAGCTCGTCTTGACTCCAGCTCTTCCTTCCTCACAGTGGGACCTCGTGTGCACACACCGGAACTTGCCGCAGCTGAGTCAATTCATTTTCATGACAGGGATGCTGCTTGGAAACTTGATATTTGGGAACCTCACGGACAGGTTAGTGGTGAACAAAGCTGGATCAAGGAGCAAAGGCATGGGCCCTCTTGGCTGGACACGGTGGGGTCGGGGGAGACTGGCACCCCTGAAAACCCAGGGAGGGATGCACGTCTGATCCACTCAAGCCTGATCACATCTGGAAAGTCATGCAACAGTCCATCAGCTCTTTCCACGCCTCACTTTCTTTCCGTTACTCCTCATAGTGCCCTTGCAAAGCTGGCGTGGGTGGTGCTTTTATCTGCATTTTACCAATAAGGACACTGAGGTTGAAGGATGTTAAATAACTTGCCCAAACTGTCTAGGAAGATCAAAAAAAGTTATCAGGTGTTCATCCTGAGGAGTGGAATTGGAAAGAAGAGAACTTTTCGCTTTGCATTACTACATGTTTGACCTTTTATAACAATTCATTACCTTTATCATTTTAAAGAGCAAATAATGGTTTTAAAAAGTACGGTCACACAACGAATAAGTGGCAAAAGCGGGACAGAAATACAGAAGTTCTGACACCCTGAAGAAGTCACTTTCTGCCACTCCTGCCATGTGTGTAGCCTCAGTATCACAGAAACATAGACCTAAGAGTCAGTAAGAGCAAGGAGCAAGTCTCAGCTCCACCACTAACCGGGTGTCCACAGAGAGGAGCACAGCCTCACTGTTCTTCCCTTCTATAAAATGGGGGTGATGATCCTAACCCCTTAGGGTTATGGTGAAGGTTAAATTAGTACCTGGGATTCAGTGGTGATTACCCTAACCTTGCCCATCTTTCAAACCAAAGACCACACACAGATCATGGGGTAGACAACAGGAGGCAATTTTCTAGAGAATAAAATCTGCAAATATTAGAAACGTCATTGCAGATCAAAGGTACACAAAATCAGCTTGACTCTTCATAAAACATAAGCCACGGTCATATCCATTTTGCAAAAGCATCAACTTAGCGTAGGTTTCTCAACACGAATCCACAAACCAAACTCACAGATACAGAGGACAGACAGGCAGTTGCCAGCGGTGGGGGGCTGAAAGCAGGTAAAATGGGTGAAGGGAGTCAAACGGTCCAAAGCCCCAGTTACAAACCAAGTTAGTCATGGGATGTGATAGAAAGCATGGTGACTACAGTTACTAATACTGCATCACATACTGGAAAGTGCTAACAGAGTAGATCTGAGAAGGTCTCTCATCACAAGAAAAAAAAATGTGTAACTATGTATGGTAACAGATATCAAGTCTATCTGTTGTGGTGATCCCTTCACAATATATACAATTACCGAATCACTATGGTGTACACCTGAAAATAATATAATGTTACATGTCAATTATGCCTCAATTTTTTTTTTAAATTATAAAAGACTGTCTCCTAGGAGAGGTCTATCAGGAATCATCATCCACCAATCATCGAAGAATCAACCGCATCCCAGAGCGGCAGTTCCCAAGTCTTAGGAGCTTGTAAAAAAAAAAATCATGTTTCTACCTTAACTTCCAGGTAGTCAAGAGGCCTTGAGTAGGATAGAGGCATCTGAGTTGTTTCCACACACCCCGGTGATTGTGATGAGTGTGTGGGCCCCCGCCACCAGTCTGCTGGTGCATCAGGACCCTGGACAGCAGCAGCGGAAGCCTCCGCCTAACCCAAGGGCACCCAGAGGCCAGCCCTCGCCCTATTATTCCCCACCTCCCATCTCTGCACCCATCTCATGGTCACACGTGGGCAGCCTTGCAAAAAAAAAAAAAGCCATTAGATAGCCCAGGGCACCAAGGGTGAGACAGCCCAGGACACCAGGCAGGGAGGGAGCAAGGTGCTCTCTGAACCCGGGTTTCTCCTCTCCCCGCAGGGTGGGCCGCCGGAAGGTGTTGACCTGGAGCTACCTGCAGTTAGCGGTGTCAGGGACCTGCACGGCCTTTACACCCAACTTCACAGCCTATTGCGCTTGCCGCTTCTTTTCAAGCATGGCTATAAGTGGCATTGCCACCAACTCTCTGACATTTAGTGAGAGGGGCCCTGGGAGGGCTGGGCTTGTGGGTGCCCCTGAATCACAGGGGTTCAGTGGACCAGGGCACCAGAGCAATTCAGACCTCAGCTCCTTCCCTGAGTACAAAGCTGAGTCCACCTGTCCCAGAATCCCTAACTATCAAGGCCTCCCTTGGGGTAGGCAGTGCCCAGGGCAGAAAGAAACGAAGATGATGACCTCTTTGGTGGCTCTGATCATTTGAGGCTGGGATGGCTCCCAGGTACTTAGGGGTCATTTCAGAGGATGAACTGAGTAAACACTTGACCGAGATTGGGTGGGGTTGCATAAAGAGGTCAAAATGTGGGCCTTTAATTCATCACTCATCTACTTAACACAGTTTGAAGAGGTACCTCATTTGTGCCAGACCCTGCACTGGGGATACAGAAGTGAACAACTGCCCGTGAACCCAGAGTTAGCAGTCTACTGGGGGAGACTGCCAAGGCTTTACAAGTTGATGTGCTAACGGCTGGGATGAGAGTTATCCTAGACGACGTGGGAGTGCAGGAGTGGGGTGTTCAGTCGGGACTTGGGGAGCCAGGAAATATCCACAGAAGTGATATCTAAGTGCAAAAATGAGTGACCAGTGAGGCAGAAAGTGAGACAGAGGAGGGGGGAGGGATTCTGGGGTGGCGTTCTAGACCCAAAGAATAGAACATACAAGGCCCTGAGGCCAGAAGGTACGACCCACTGGAGGAAATGAAAGTGGTGCAGGATAGCCTGAGGACAGGGCTCATGTATCTTTATTCCCCAAGCACAGCTACGGGAATGGCACAGAGATGCCAACCCGAACTGTTTGACGAATTAAAATGAGCTGAAGGAAGTGCAGGTGGAGTGGCTGTAGGCAGGTCAAAGGACATTTGGGAGAAGCCAGGCAATACGAATACTGGGGTTGGATTCTGTGAAATAGGAGCACACCTGGGAATTCAGAGCCGTCCAGCCAGCTCCTTGCTCCACACACACACTGAACATTGCTAGTGATCAAACCACCCTTGCCTTACCCCCTGGGGTGCCTAGAGATGCAGAGAAGGACTGAGCTCAAAAGAGAAGCCTTTCTGCTCTGATGTGAGGGTCTTTGTCCACCTGGAAATGAGTACTAACCCTCACACACACACATCTCTCACACACCCCTGACTTTGACCTGAGCTCTGCTGTTTTCCCCAGGCTTGGAGTGGCTGCCCATCCATACCCGGCCAGCTTTGAGCCTCTTATATGGGTTATGCAACAGCCTCTGCCAACTCTCCCTGGTCGGCATGGCTTATGCTGTGCCCGACTGGCGCCACCTGCAGCTGCTGGTCTCTCTGCCCTTCTTTGTCATCTTCATCTACTCCAGGTGTGTGGGCCTGAGGGTAGGGCAGAGGGTTCACAATCAATCACAGGTGGGCTGAGCATCCTACACCATCCCCTACCTTCCCTCCTAGTAGCAAAGCAGGTCAAAGCAAAAAGAGCCAAGGCCCAGTTTGGTAGATGGGGAACATAATAGCCCATAGGAAAGTAGGGCTGGTCGTCCCAGGTCTCCCACAAAGAAAATGGCAATCCTTGGAGTAGAACCCAGGGGTCTGAACTCCCAGCCCAGAATTCTTTCCATCCCTCCAAGGTGTCTTCCTGCTCTGGTCTGTGCCCTTCTCAGCCAGCCCCCACTCTATCAATCCGGGCTGAAGCCATCCCCACCCCTGCCCGCCACCCACAGGTCCTTCACTGAGTCAGCCCTCTGGTACTTCTCCTCGGGGAGGCAGGACCTCTCCTTGAAGGCCCTACAGAGAGTGGCCCAGATCAACGGGAAGCAGGAAGAGGGAGCCAAGCTGAGTATGGAGGTGAGACCCCTGGGTCCTTGTGTGACACCCCACCAAGGCTCTCCCTGCCCCTACCCTCACCCTAGAACCCGTGCTTCCCAGGACAGGGGTTGGGAGGAGGGGTTGCTAAGGAAATCCAGGCCTATGCCCTATCTATCCAAGCAGCTGCTTCAGATGCATCTGCAGAAGAACCTGACGATGAACATGGCCCAGCCCTCGATGTTGCAGCTGCTACGCTCCCCTGCTGTTCGCCACCTCCTCCTCTGCCTTGCGCCCCTGTGGTAGGTCCATCCTCACTCAGGTAGGAGACAGACAAACTGATGAACAGAAGCAGACAGAGAAAACAGGGCAGGCTAGGCAGGTAAGAGGCTGAGGGGGACCCCACAGCAAGTGGCAAAACACGCAGGCGCTCTGGAGGCTCAGAGGGCTCCCCACCTCTCTAGCGAAAGCCCAACTCTCTCTCAAATGGCCAAGTTCTTCCCTCCCCTTCCCAGGCCTCTGAGCTCAGCTACCCCCAGGAGCCCTGAGCTTCTGGCCCTGAGGGCTGTGTGGCAGTCATTCGCATTCCCCTGAAGATGTCTTCTATTGCCATGTTAACACATTACCACATATTTAGGGCTCCACCAGGCTGAAGCCTAAGTGTCAGATGAGCTGCGTCTGAAGGCTTGACTTGAGAAGAATCCACTTCTAAACACAGCCAGGTTGCTGCCTGAATTCATTTATTTGTGGATGTAGGACTGAGGGCCCTGGCTTCTTGCTGGCTATTGGTGGAGGCTTCCCTCAGCTCCCAGACTCTGTCCTTAGTTCTCCATGTGGGCTTTCCCGGTGGCTGCTTAGTTCGCCATGCCAGCAAGGAGAGTCTTTTGAGTGGGTCCACTAGCAGGGGCCCATCCTGGAGCCTGGCTGCCACAAGGGCTCCCCAAACCCTGCGCAGCGTGTCCCTGGCCATGGGGTCATTTGCCACTGACAAAGGTACAGCCATTGATCTCACCTGTTTTGTGTATTTCTATAATACCTCTGTGGGAAAATATACAGATGGTCCACGTGGGTAAAGTAATTAGGCAGCAGGAAGAAGCAAACAAAAAAGATGTCATCACTGTTAACATACTGGCATAGGTTCATCTGGACTTTTGTTTTCGCATACCTCAAACACACAAACACACAGTACTTTATATTACATATCGTTGCAAAAATGCAGCAGAAATAACAGCCATTTGCTCTTAACGTATTTCATGAACATCATCACGTATCAATAAACGTAGACTCCAGGGCTGACCCTGTGTTCTCGGGGTCCACGTCCTCCAAGGAACGCAGGGATGATGGCGGGGAAAGGGCAGGGGCGGAAACCAGTGGCCGGGTGCCAGGGCGAGTTACTAGGTAAACAACCCTGCGGTCTCCTCACCCCAGAGGAAGGGCTAAACGATGGAGGAAGGTTAATGGTCGTTTGTGATTAACCCACAGCCTCTGCACATTCCAGAGTCCACCCAGGGGGAAAAAAGGACAGAGTTAAGGGTTCAGGGATGTTAGTTTAAAATAGAGGAAGCTTTATCTGCACAACCAACCTACTCTCCAGTAAAGAAGTATTTTACAAAAGTGACCCTCATCAACACTGAGTGCTATTGCTCTGAGAAGCAGAAAACAGTACCTTGCTTTTCAATTCACATTTATTTTATTCTGGAGGAACTGGAACATTTTCTTCCCATGATTTCAATCGATTTAGAGTTTCTCGTAAGCTTCCTATTTGTATCCCTTGCCCATTTTTTTTTCTTTTTATTGACTTGTAAAACCCTCCTTTACATTAAAGATACTAACCTATTACCACAAATGATCAATATTTCTGGCATTTTAAAATCTGCCTTTTAGACTTACCACTTTTTTAAAATAGAGACATTTTGTTGATTTGTATAAACACATCTACCTTTTTTTAAAATTCAGCTTCCGTGTTTCAGATTATATCCTTAGTACAAACTATTCACCTAGATTTTCTTGAAGCATGTTCATATTTGTTTAGGCTTTTATATTTCAGGAAAATTCATCTGAAATGTAGCTGAACCTAAAGTAAGAAGTAGTCTATTTTTCCAAGATTGGTTAGTTATACCAACCCATTTACCAAACAGCCCTTCCTTTCCTGGTTGGTGTAAGACATCACCCTTATCACATATCACTTCTGGACTATTCAGTCCCACTGACTTATCTGCCCATTCTGGTGCCAATACCATTCTGTTTAATTCTTAGTGCCAGTGTGGGTCATATAAGATTGTTCGCTGTGGACAGCCTCTCATTGTGCCCTTCAACAACCTGGAGGCAGGACATGACACTTAACCACATCTCTAAGGAGCCAAGCTGCCCACAATGGGTCACTAAACAGTGGTGACTTTATGAAGACTCCATGGGGAGATAGAAATGATGCTCACATCACATACCACACAGCCAAAAGCTTAGAGGCATTTCCATTCTCCTTCAATTCCATCAAATCCCTCAAATTGATGGCTCACTGCCATGGATTCTCCCATTCCCTCTCCTAACACCCCCTCCATATAATCTCTAAAATCTCCTAAGACTGCATCTCTAGCTGTAAACGTACATACATCACTCAAACAAGCAAAAAAAAAATCCTTTCTTTCCTAGAATTCACTAGGTGTTACTTGAGAATCTGCAGAAGGTGAGGTCTCTCACAAACACCGCCTCCCAGTGCAATGAACTAATCACAGCAAGCGCCTCTCAAAAGCCAGTCTCTTAAGACAGGGGATGGGGTTAGGGGGATAGAGAGGACCTATTGCAAAGTAAAAAACACTATTTTCTCCTAGTTAATTTTAAAATATAGTCTAATATGTGGTAGATAATTAATACTGTCTTTTACAATTAAGGGAAGACTTTTTTATGTGCATTCAAAGGGGAAAAAAACCCACTCACAGAGCTGATGTAAGTGCTAAAGGAAAGAACAGATGTGAGAGTAGTTTGCCAGCTGCAATTGCTATGTAGATGTGGCCCGGCTATTACCCAAAGCAAATCCCCTCTGCTTCTGCCCCAGGTCCTCACTCAACCTGAGCCACTTTGGCTTAGTCATGAGTCTGCAAAGTTTTGGGATCAACATCTACCTGATGCAGGTGCTCTTCACAAGTGCAGACATCTTATTTCATTTCCTGAGCTTTTTGACCAACAAATCACTGGGCCGCCGGTCTACCCAAATGGCCTCCTTGCTGCTGTCCGGGATCTGCATTCTGGCCAGTGCGATGGTACCCCAGGGTAAGCACGTGACCCATTCCTGCCCCCGCCCTGGTCCTTTCCCAAATCCAGACCCCCATCTGGCTCAAGCCAGCTACCTAGAAGGGTAGAAAAGACCCAAAGATCCACCCAACCTTTCCCAGCACTCTCTCGTCACTTTGATTTCCTTCCAGATCAGTTGTTCCTCCACATCACAATGGCTGTGTTAGGAAAAGGCTGTATAACTGGCTCCTTTAACTGCATCATTATGTATACAGGGGAGCTGTGCCCCACAGTAATGCGGTGAGTGGAGTGTGGGGGAGGCGTCCTGGGATGGGACAATCAGGCCCTAAAGCCCGAAGCTCTCCAGTAGAAACGGCACGCAAGTCAATCTGTTATTTTGTAAGGCAAGAAAGGAGGACAAAAACATAGAGAAATTAGGATGAGTTAAAGACAAAAGATAAGATGGTATCAATAACCCCTATCAGTCACCACATAAATGTAAATGGGTTCAATGAGTTAAAAGGCAGAGATATTCCAAGTTGATTTTTTTAAATCTAGTTCATGACGTTTACAAGAGACTCATCTAAAATGTTAAATGCAGAGAAATGGAAAAAGATATACCAGGAAAATATTAACCAGAAGAAAGTTACGCAGATGTGCTAACAGGAGTCAGAGTAGACTTTAAGACCAAAAGCATACAATGCTTAAGAATATGGCTCTGGTATGTGAGGTAACTGATCCAAATGCTCAGTTATCATCTTACCTGTAAAATACAGATGAGGATAATAATAATCGTACCAAATATAAATTAAATGGAAAACAAAGATATAAAAGAGAGAGTCAACAAAACAAAAAGTTGATCTTTGAAAATATCAATGAGCCCTGGCGGGTGTGGCTCAGCAGTTGAATGCTGGACCTCAAACCAAGAGGTCACCAGTTCAATTCCTGGTCAGAGCATATGCTTGGGTTGGGAGCCCGGTCCCCACTAGGGGACCTCCGAGAGGCAGCCCATTGATGTTTCTCTCACATGTTGATGTTTTTCACTCTCTTTCTCCCTCCTTCCCCTCTCTCTGAAAAGTAAATAAAATCATTTTTTAAAAAAGAAAGAAAATATCAATAAAATAGACAAATCCCTGGTAACAACAATCAAAAAAAATATAAAGGACTGAAGAAGACATGAACAAATATTAGGAATAAAACAGAAACTGAACTACAGATCTAAAGTAATTACAAACATGTAAAAAAAAAAATGTACAGGCCTATCTGATGAAGTTAAAATTTAGATGAAATGGATGACTTCCCAAAAAGATAATATAAAAAAACTAATTCTAGAACAAATTAAAAGTTTGAATAGTAAACTTTAAAATCTTGCCTCAAAGAAAACATCAGGCCCAGATAATAATACAAGTGAGTTCAGCCACACTTAAGAAACAAATCTTCCGATATTTTACAAATGCTTCTCCAAAAAAGAGAAAGAGAGAATTATCTCAAATTCATTCTAGGAGGACAGTTGATACTGAAACCAAAGGAGGATAATCCACTGGGAATTATAGATTACAGACCAATATCACTCATTAACATATACAAAAATCCTAAACAAAATGCTTTTTTAAATGAATCCAGTGATGTCTGAAAATGATAATACCTTATGACTAAGGAGAACTAATCTCAAGAAAGCGAAGGTGGCCATCTGATAATATCACCACATTAATAGATTATCATCGAGGTAAAAGCAGAGCATGATATGATAAGAGTCATGGTTTTAGAAATCACTTTGGCTTCCTCGTACAGAACAGACTGGGGATAGAGGCCCAAGGCAAAGGATAGAAACGGGAGCACCCGTCGGGGCCCTACTGAAACAGCGCCACAGCGCCGCAGCATCAGTGCCCGCAGCGCTAGGATCACAGCACTGCAGTATTAGCACTGCGGTCTGAGTCCCGTGGCACTGCAACAACAAGCAATGAAAATGGCTTAGAGTGAACTGATGAGCACTGGTTGCGGGAGACTGGGTGGTTGAAAGTGTCCTGTGCTGGGATGAGGAAACCTGGGGGAGGAGCCAGTGTGGGGGTAGAAATGAAGAGTTCCTCGACCTTGACCTTTTAGACATCCAAATGAAGGTGTCAGCTAGGAAGTCAGATATATAATCTGGAGTTCAGGGGAGAGGTTGGTTGGAGACTTATCAACAGTCATCCAGCAGGTTCAGCTTGGGGCTGGAACCCAGGCTTCCCGGTTCCAAAACCGTTTGCTTCCCACTTTCCTTTTAGCCAAGGACAATGCAAGCGTTTGGCACTACAGAGGGGAATGTGAAAAGAAAAAGCAACAGAGGCAGGCAGAGCTGGGGCTGCCGCAAACGCCCCTGGCCTCACCCAGGTGCTCCCCCCACCCCACCCCACACAGGCAGAGGGGTATGGCTCTGACAACAACCCTGGGGATCATGGGCGGCAGCCTAAGCCCGTTAGTGGCCATGACCACCGAGTTCCACCCCTCCCTGCCTCTCTTCATCTACGGAGCGGCCCCTGCAACTGCCAGCGTTGTCACGCTCTTCCTGCCGGAGACCCAGGGCCAGCCACTGCCCAACACAATCCAAGACCTGGAGAGAAGGTGGGCCGTGGCCTTCCCCCGCCCAGCCCCCTATTCCCCCCCACCCCACCGAGAGCTGTAAGAGGCTGACTTCCCAATGATCGCGCCTCGTTTGACAAAAGAAGGCCAGACTCAGGGATAGCAAGGACTCACCTAGGGTCACTCAGCGGGACTCTGGTAGAGCCACGGCCAGGATACAGGCCTCTGGACTCCCAGGCCACGTGGGTCCTGTTCTCACAAATAGGCTGAGTCCCCTGGCACCCTTTCTGAGACTCCTGGCTCTGAAACACAGTGGGCAGTTTGGAATATCAAGTGGGACAGCTGAGCACAATTATTAAAAAAAAACCCAACTCGACTCTCAAACCCTGCTTGTCCTTCCCTTGTAGATGGAAAAAGAAATTGGAGCAGGAGCAGCAGATGGTCCCGCTCCAGGCCTCCTGAGGACTGAGAAAGGGCAGAGAGCGGAGGAGGGAGCCCCTGCACCCCCTGGATACGCACGCTAAGCAGGCACGGAGAAACGGCAGCCAGGGGAGGACAGAAGCCACCTCTGCTGGACCTGTGGCTACAGAGAAACACTTCCCCTAGGGCCCCCACTCCTAGGCAGACTCACTTATTCAAAGTAATTTCGCCCAGCCTGGCTGCTGCAGCTCAGTGGATTGAGTGCCAGCCTGCAAACCAAAGGGTTGCCGGTTCGATTCCCAGTCAGGGCACATGCCTGGGTTGCAGGCCAGGTCCCCAGTAGGGGGCGCACAAGAGGCAACCACACATTGATGTTTCTCTCCCTCTCTTTCTCCCTCCCTTCCCCTGTCTCTAAAAATAAGTAAACAGAATCTTAAAAATGAAGGGGGAAAAAAAGTAACTCTGCCCAACTTCTCCTGTTGTTCCCCTCTGGCCCAAACACAGTGACCGCTGCACGTCAGCCAGCCCTTGGTCCCCAAAATCATGCAGTGATCCCCTATGTAGAAAATCCTGTGGAATCTGCAAGTGCTACTACAACTAAGATGTATTTAGCAAGGTTGTAAGTTACAAGATCCGTATTTTAAAAGAACAGCATTTCTGGCTCACTTGGTTGAGCACCACCCTGAAAAGCAAAAGGTTGCTGGTTCAGTTGAGGGATGGTCCCCAGTTGGGGAATGTGCAAGAGTGTCTCTCACACATCGATGTTTCTTTCCCTTTCTTTCTCCCTCCCTTCCCCTATGCCTAAAAAATAAATAAAATCTTTAGAAGAGTTGCATTTCTATATATTGGCAATAAACTACTGGATATCAAAGTTTAAAAGACAATACCATTTTACAGGAGCATCAAAAAATGGAAATATGTGGAGACAATAAAAAGATCAGTGGCTGCCCTGGCCGTGTGGCTCAGGTGGTTGGAGTGTCACCCAGTAAACCAAAGGGTTGCTGGTTCAATCCCTGGTCAGAGCACACATCTAGGCTGCAGGTTACGGGTTCAATCCCCAGTCAGGGTGCGTATTGGAGGCAACTAATAGATGATTCTCTCTAACACCAATGTTTCTATCACCTCTCTCTCTCTCTCCCCTCACCCCTTCCTCCCTCTCTAAAAAGCAATGAAAAAAAATGTTCACAGATTTAAGAAAAAAAATCAGGGACAGATAATAGGTGGAACATGGGATTCTTTTGGCAGGAAAACTATTCTGTATGACACTATGATGTCACCATACCTATCAAAAACCTTCAATGAGCTATCAGGTAAGTATTAGCATAATCCTCAGGCAGGAGAAGGTTATGTGATACCGTTAAGAAATAATGGAGCCTACACTTGAACCCAGACAGCAGAACTCAGGCATGTGTGCGTGCACACACAGTGCTCCTGCCTTCTGCGCCCTTTTTCTCTGCTCCTTCCAAGGCTTTCTTACAGGTGCAGTGACAAACCTTCCACACCTTGCTCCCCCACCACCACCTGCAGAGACAGGCACACGCTGCGCCAGCACCAAGGCTGGGAGAGAGGACTGCACGAGGCCATGGCTCTGCTCTGCAAGGACAAGGGCCAATGTGCCACCGCAGACCCAATGCGCAGGTACCCATCAGGACCCCACGTTCCTGCTCTGTGTTCCTAGATCCGCTTTTCGTCCCTGCACTTAGCCTTGGCCCTGCCCCCATTCTATCAGCCCATCTTCAAAGAACATCAGAGAAGGGAGAGTCCTTTGGGACCATCTAGCCCATCTTTAAATCTACCCCCACCCAATTTATAGATGCGTAGCCTGAGGCCGGGAGTGAGGCCACGGCTCCTTTTCTCTCACAGGGATCTAGACGGGGCCTCCAACTTGACTCAGAGAGCCCGGAGCGCTGGCATACCCGATACCTCCGGAACCAGGCCATCCTTTCCAGCAGGCCTACACCCTCCCCACAGGGGCCAGTTCCTGCGGACTGCCCCTCTCTCTCTCTCTTCGCCTCCTTTCCTAGCTCATGGGCTCTCGTCTGCCCTGGTACCTTTCCCAAGAACATCTTGTCTCCTCCACTAGCTCATCCACTCCCATGGCTTCTGGCCTCTCGTTTCTCCTGGTCCCTTCCTGGTGCTGAGCACAATGCTGAGCACAGGCTCCAGGCTGTTCCTCAGGATGGGGCTGCGTTACCAATCAGGAGGAAGCAGGACATGCGAGAGGGCGCACTGCGTTGTTTTATAGCAGTGACTACTGGTTGAAAACTCTAGAAGCCTAACCCTGACTTGTAGGCCAAAGAAACGAAGGAAGGCTGAGCTGCGGCTGGGTTTTGGTCCCTGTCTTCCCCCACCCAAGGTGGTTTGCAGAGTCACCTCACCAGCTGTTGGTGGCAGGAACCTAGAGCAGGCTGGGCATGTGCTCATGCAAGAGGTCCACAAGCTGGAAGACACAGGGCTACATGCTCATCCCAACAGTGAGGCAGTTTGGGCCCCAAGCAGGGCTGCTTCTCACTGTCCCAAACCAAGACCCAGTCTGGCTTCCTCCCTCCCTCCACGCATTGGCACCATCTTCTTTTGGGCTGGCGCCCTGCAGGAAAGAGCTTTCTCCCTCTAATATGCACCAAGCCCCTCCATTTCTGAGCCGCCTGTCCTCCCTGGAAAGGGCAAGAAGGGAAGGTTGGTCCCCGTCCCCAGGGCCACATGCTGTGTCGGCAGGCTGCTGGCTGCCCACAGCCCCTTCTCTGACTCCTCTGGGGGTCCAGGTTCAAGCGAACCCCTAACGGCCCCGGGGAAGAGTCACTTCTAGCCCGCAGGCGCCAGCGCCGCCCCCTCCCCCGCCTCAGTCGGCGAGCTCGGGCCGTAACTCGATTGTGCGCTGTTAATTAAGCGAAGGCGGGCAGGCGGAGTAAACAGGCGGCCTCCGAGGTCGGCTCCCACTCATCAGTCCCGGCCCTGGTCAGGCTGGCAGGAGGCGCCAAGGGGGCCGGGGAGGAGGCCTTAGACCCCGGTAGAAAGACTGATTACCATCCCCCTCCAGTCTAGCTAAGGGGGTTGGGGGAGGGGACGAGGCCGCGATGTGAATACACTGATGCTCAAATTTGGGGAGCTAAAGGACAGGGGCAAAAGCAGCGATCCGGAGTCAACTGGTCTAGCTCTGGCACCTACTAGCGGTGCGACATTGGACAAAATACCAGACCTCTCAGGACCTTAACTTCCTCATCTATAAAATAGGGATAATAATTCTCCCTACTTTGACGGGTTATTGCAACAAAATAAATTAGTTAAAACATGTAAAAACACTGAGAACAGTGCCAGCACATGGTTGGGGGCTATGTGGTTGTTAAATAAATGAGACAGCAAACACCCCGCAAATTCCCAGGCTAGCTCTCTGTCTCATACACGGCCCTGAGGGTTCTCAGCTAGTTAGCTCCGAGCTGGGGGCAAAACCCTCAAACTTTGAGAGAGCCAAGAGGGCTGGCCCTCACCTCTCTGAGCCTCAGTTTTCTGTCTGTAAAATGGGGGTCATAATTGTGCCTACATCATCAGCTGGGGTGGGGATTAAACAAGGAAGCGCACGTACAGCGCTTATGAATGCAGTAGCCAGGAGGAAGCGCTTGGCGAAGGGCCAGCTTCCATGTTTTCTGAAAGTTAGATCTGCGCCATCCCTTACCCACCTCTGTCAAAGAAAGACCTGCGTTGCAGGGCATAAAGGAGGAATATGTAGTATTATTCTTGCATCTTCTAAGGCAAATGGGCGCTTCGAACCAGCACACCCCAGCCCCAGGCACCTGGCCTCTAGCCGCGTTCCCTGGGCATGGAGCTGGGCGGCCACTAGGAGGCACGGCGGCAGGTGCGGGGTGCCGTAGGTGCAGCTGGGACGGCCGCGAACAGGGGCTCCGACATCACAATGTGGCAGTCGGGAAGGGTGAGAGCCAGCCCTTTGGCCACCCAAGGACTTGCAGCACCCAGCGGGCGCGAGGGTCTGCCGAGAGCTGTCTGGGAGAGGCATGGGGCTTAGGCTCCACTCCCCCCGCCCGGTCCCACTCTTTGACATCATGGGCTTGGAGCTTTGGTCTCTGCCTTGGTTGGGACTCGAGGACAAGGCATACGCGCCCACGGGAGATGGGGGAGGAATGTTACGAGGAAAGGAAGCACATTGAGGAGATCTGGAGTCAGGGGACCCCGAAATCGGACCTGCCTGCCCCAGGCAATCCCTAGGCGCTCAGACTCTTATATGGAGATGGGAAGTTGGGGAGAAGCCTTGGGATCCGGCCCTTAGTTCCTGCCCGAAGCTCCCTCCAACCCCTGACTTCTCTCTAAGTCTCACATCGGGTCCAGTCCTGCGCCCGGGCACATACACCATGTGGCAGAAAACTTGGGGGCCCGATGTCCAGTGACCAAGCAAAACAAAGTCCACGCGGTTAATCAGATTTTTCGGGCTGTTTTGGCTATAGAGATCTGAGTGGGAAGTGCCTGTCGCCATAGCACAGAAGAAAGCGACCCTTCCCTCACTCCCTGTCGCAAGTCCATTGTGCGTCCAACTCCCAGGCTGCGGGCAACCTGGACTCCGAGATCCTGCCCTCATAGACGGGACAGAAAACGCTCAGGGACTCCCTATAGGAACACAGCTCTGTGTTGAGGTCGGCCCCACCGTCCAGGATCTGTTGCCTCTGTTGCCAGCATTCACCACCCCGCCCCACCCTGGCGCTCTGGAACTCAGCGAGTCGCCTGTCCCCGCTGGAAGAACCCCCTGGCCAGGCCCCGTGAGGCACCTACCTCCGGGCCTCCCTATACCCCCCTTTCTTCAGGGCGGCATGGGGGGCTGCTCCTGGGCCCTCCCCCGCCCCCAGGCTCCCAGCAGAGAGCCGTCAGGGAGGTAAAGGGCCCTGGGATGTGGAGGGGGAGTGTTTTGACGCGGCCTTGATTTCGGAACCAGACTCAGGAAATCCTATTTCCTGTCCCAAGATGATGCCTTTGTGGCCACTTTTCCCTCGCCCAGCAGGCAGTGAAAACACCAGCGGCCCCTACTTGGCCTACTGTACCTGCAGCCCCAACCTGGATTTTAGCATTATTTTAAATCTGGGAATTAGTCTCTCCTGGATCCCTGCCGTCGGAGTGGGGAAGAGGGGGCGTGAAGCTGAGGGCCCAAAGCCATGGGGAACAGGGGGGCACGAAGGGACGCCCTCAGGATGACCAGCTGCCTCCTTCCCAGGCTCTTGAGGGAGGTGACCTCGATGGCAGGTGAGAACACCAACCCACGGCCCTTCCCACAGGACTGAGGGCCAAGCAGCAAGGCTTCTGAGGTCTGGTGGGGGCCAGGACAACCGCCCACTTCGGCCTCCTTCTCCCAGGACTGCAGAAGCAGCACTGAGAAGTAGCTTGACTTTCGCGCAGGGGTTCAAGTCAAGGGTGAGCTCGGAGGGGCTGCGAGCTCACAGCACGGGAGTGCCCTCCCTTCCTTCATCCCTTCGCGGCCTTCAGCCTGGGTCCCGCGTTTTAGAAATCCTGGCCCCGCGGGTTTCCACCGTCCTGAAACTGCAGCCTGGACTCCAGCTCCAGGACGGCTCTGGCACGCCCGCAGCACCCTGTGGGGAGCCCCGGGGGTGCGTGCTGTCTGCAAACATACTCATCTGTAAAATGGGAATGAATAATAATAATAGAACCTCCCTCAGAGAGCTGTAGTGCAAAACAAGCCGGTTCATCAATGCCGAGTGCTTAGCAGCGCCTGGCACGTAGGAAGTGGTCAGTGCGCGCTATAAATAACAATAATGGCTTTCACTTGTAGCAAACGCCTGCCCCTGCCACGTTTAACATGCAAAGCTAATCATCCAACAGCGCCGTCAGAAAGATGTTTCTAACTCCCACGGCACTGAGGAAGAAACTGAGACCTAGAGACCTGGAGGAGGCCACCAGCTTGCTCAGGGCGGTTCAACCGGGAAGCGATAGACCTGGGTTCGCACCCAGGGCAGCTTCTCCCCATCTCGCCCACGGTGAGGCGGCTGAGAGAGGGGCCCAGCCGCGCAGGGACGACCCCGCGCTCTGCCTCTGGCCTGGAGGGTGAATCCCTCGCCTAGCGGCCAAAAATAGCAACCGGCAGGATCGGAGACCCAGGTGTGCCGCGCCTGCCCGGGTCCCACCCGGCCAGAGAGAAGACGGAACTGGCTGGGGTCGGGCCGGGCCGCTTCCTGGAGGCTGGGGGGTCGCGCGGTTGGGGGCGGGGACCGACCCCCACGTGCGCCTCCTGCCGCTGCTTTGCGAAGCCCTTTGTCGCGAGCAGCCGCGTTCGTGCCGCACTCGGCGGCTTAAAATAAAGACAATGTTCCCAGCCTCCCTGTGGCTAAATCGGGCGCGGGTGCGGGGGCGGTGAGAGAGCTGGGTGGGAGAGCTGCTCCAGGCCCTACCTCCCCTCTCCCTTCCTACCTCAGTTTCCCCATCTGGTCATGGGACCTAGGCATAGAGACCTGGGCAGAGAAGTGACACGGGGGCGGCGGGGGCGGGACAGGGGGCGCCTCATCCCCCTGCCTCCGCGGACTGCGCCGCCTGAAAGAGGAAGCCACTTGGGACAGAGAGGGGCACTCCAGAGGAGGCAGAGGGAAGCTGGACACCCTCCTCTCCCGCCTACCAAATAAGTGTTTTTATTTCTACGGGGACGTGTGCAGAGGCGGTGGGAGAAGAGAAAAGGGAGACCAAGGAGACTAGGGGGAGGGGGCAAAAAAGAGAAAGCCTGATTCAGACTCGGAAATGGATGTTGAGCTTGGAGGCCTAACACCCCCACACGCAGCCACGTGTACGCGCACAAGCGTTCGCAGCCCCACCGCGCCGAGGAGCCGCAGCCGCGCACCAGGACCGCCCAGCAGGGGGCAGCCTGAGTCTGAGCCCAGGGGCCGGGACTGGTCGAGGTCTGACCCACCCCTGACCTGCTGGCTGATCAGGGGTGGGAGGGGGCGCTCAGACTCCTCTCCAAGCGGCCTGGTCTGTTCACAGGGGAGGTGGACTGGGTGCTCACTCTGGCCCCGGCAGGCTTTGAGAAGCGAAGATGCCCCCACATGGATCCGCCACGTGTGCCTACCATGGCTGCTGGCCAAGCCCCAGGGACTCCAGTTCCGCTCCACCTGGCTCCACTGGCAACTGGGCTCCAGCCCCGGGTTACCCTCCGGCGTCAAAAGTGAGAAGGGGTGCTTCGTGGGGCCATGGGCAGCGGCAAAGTGGTGGGACAGGTCCCAACCCCTGTGACTCTAGAGCCCTGGGCTTAGAGCTAAGGAACCTGCATCCAAGTACTCACCCACCACATATTAGTCACACTTATCTTTGGTTTTCTCATGTACATAATGGGGGTAATTGACGATCCTGGTCCTACCTTCCACCCCAGGGCTTCAGCATGGCCCAGTGGGGCAAAGCACACAGCAGCCAGGACAGCTCTCCTTCGTGGTCAGCTCCCCAGGAGGTCTCTAGGGCCCTGTGAGGGCAGTGCAGGACCCAGGTCTCTATGGCAAAGGGCCCCCCAGGGGTTCTATCTCTGAGGAAACTCAACACAGAAATCCATGCTGGCTGGGGTGGGGGGGGGGGTGGCTGGCCAAGCGGTGGGGCAAAGTGAGGTGAGGAGGAAGGGCAGGTTTGTCACTTCCCAGGTACATACCTGTGAGCACTGAGTGGGAGTCAGGGGAGACAGAGTTTGACAAGCTGGGAGGAGAGCTGTCTGTCTGCCTGTCTGTCTGTCTTCCAGGTGGAAGCTGGAGGTGGAGCAGGCAGAGAGATAGAGACTGCCACACTTGTCAGAATTAACAAGTTCCACAGTTGGGCAACACTCAGACACACGGCAAATACAGACACGCGTGTACACACGCATTCTGGCTCCAGACCAACAGGTTGCCACCTGCATTTCCGAAGGCTGCGTACTCAGGGGCACACATGTGTGGGGCACTCAGCATCGTGTGGAGCAGGCACATAGCCCCCCGCCACCTCATCCCCGAAAGCCAGGCACCCGTATACCCTCACACCGGGCTGCGCAGCGTGGACAAACACAGAAGGACACAGCCCGGCACACGGGCATGTCTGCTCAGTCCCCGGGGCGGGTGCGCCAGCCCTCTGGGTCTGTTCCAAGTTGGAGCCTCTCACATGAGGCCCAATGTGTCATTTCCAAACAGAAGGAATCCAGCTTCTTCGCAGCAGGGAGGAAGAACAGGGTGTGGGGCTGGGTGGGTGGGTGGGTGGGTGAGCGTGTGGGCGTGTGCCAGGGGCAGAGCATGTGTGAGGGAAGGAGGCATGTGAGCCCGGGAGTGTGTGCTGGGCCACGGTACATGCGGGTTGGGGGCTCTAAGGTTGGGTGGGGGAAGGAACCCGAGGAAACAGAGTGTGCTTTTGTGAGGGTGTGCGTGTGTGTGCCGCTGAGTCTGTGTGCAGTGGGTGTGGGTGTTTGTCTCCCTGTATCCGCCTTCTCTCTCGTCCTGGACTTTTAGCCTTCCTGGGCACATCTTCCTCATGTCCTGCCCCCTCCCTCTCAGGGCTCAAATTGGGGGCCCTGGTGGAGGAGGGGGGCATGCTCCAGGACCCAGTCCAACCCCAGACGTTGCCTGAGGCTTCCCTCCAGCTCCCCTCCCTTCCTTTTCTCCCTCCCTCTCTTTCCCTTCCTCCCTCCCCCCCCAAGGCTGGCGTGCCAGGGGGTGGGACGTGCCAATCACTGGCTGTGCCTCTCCGGCTGCCAGCACAGGACGCAGCTACCCCCCGGGAGCCAGGTGTTTGGGTCCCTGGAGCTACTGCCGACCCCCGGGAAGCAGTGGGGTGGAGGACCCTGCAGACCTCTCTCCAGCCCCATGGTGAGTACATTTGGGAGGGTCTGGGAGGGGCTCCACCGAGGAGGGGGCCGGAGAAGCGGGGTTCTGGGATCAAGGTAGGGACCCCAAGGAAATGTGGACAGACCCCAAAGAGGAGAGGGGGCTAGGGAGGAGTCGAGAGACCAAGGGGCTCCGCAGCATTGGACACTGGCCACTCCAAACACCCTATCCCCTGCTTGGAGTGGGTACACCCGATGTTTTCGGGGGAGGGTTTCAACTGGCAGAGGAGATGGAGACCCCCTTAGGAAACTGGACCTGGAGCCCAGAAGGGATCAGGCCACCCCGTAGCAGGCACAGCCCCTGGAACCCCAGGGAACAAGTAGGAAGGGCAGGGGGCCAGGAGGCAGCCCTGGCCATCAAGCGTCCTGTGGGAGGTGGGCCCCCCAATTGGGGTGCCCATCCCAGAACCCGTCCTCTCCTCCCTCAGGGAACTCTGAACCCCACCACCCCCACCCACCTTCAGCCCCCCCAAGATGGACTGAACCAGGCTGCTGGCCAGATGGACGAGCTGGACGCCAAGGTGGGTGTTGGGCCAGGAGCCAGCAAGAGACCAGGCCAAGAGCCCCAGGGCTCTCCGGGGACAAATGGGCACCTGGACGGCCACGCTTGTCCGGGAACGTGGCGCCGACATGCACAGGGGCCCAGAGGGCACTCCCTGTGTTCTCGGTACCTTGGGTTCCCTCAGGGCAGGTCTCAGTCCTGTGTCTGGGTAGCGCACGGGCACCGACAGGCACTGATGCCAGGTGCCCGTCCTGGGACTCCCGGGCTCCACGGTATGGGAACAGGCTGGGGGCCTCCAGCCCTGATTCATGCAGAGTCGCCAGCTCCAGAGCTGGCAGCTGGGGCACGGGGGTGGGGGGGATGGTCAGCTGTTGCTGGGTCGCTCAGACAGTGCTGCTTAGGTGTTATCAGTGCCAGTGGACGGGGGCCACCTCTTCCCACAAAACGCACCTACAGCCCCACCCAGGCTGCCCCAGGCCTGACCGACTGGCCAGACGGGGTCAGAGCGTCTCGGGCCGCCGGACGGTCTCCTGTCCCTGGGTAATCGGCTGCTCACTGAGCTGTCAGAGAGCTCTTTCTCTGCCCCCTGACCTCAGCCACTCGGCAAGCTGTGATTGCCAGCTCGAGACAGGAGGCAGGGGAGGAGTTGGCGAAATGGGGCTGCCAGAGACGTGACTCTTGGCTCCCGGATTGGGGCCTGGAGATCTGAGAGCCAAATCCCAAAGCCCAAGAAAGACTCCAGAGTGTCAAGAAGGGATTAGGCAGGGGTCACGTCACACCTGGAAAGGAACCTCCCCATTGTACAGGTGGAGAGGATGAGGCTGAACTAGGGGAAGGGACAGGCTCGTGGTCCCAGAAGGGGTATTTAGGGGTCCAGTTGGGGCTTGGACCCCATTCTCCTCGCCCTCGGTGCAACACTCCCAGCTGCCTGAGCAGGATGGCGGGGCTGGGGAGCGGCAAGCCCCGGGAGGCAGGAGCTCGGGCTCTGGCGGGCGAGGAGAGGTGGGTGACTATCGCGCTGGGTTTCTGCTCCGCTGTGATGCCATGGTGATGCCTAGAAGGATGGGGGAGGAGGGAGAGAGAAGAAAGGAAGTGGGGACTGGAGCACAGGAGAGAAGAGCAGGGGTGTGCGGAGAGGGGTGCGAGGGCCCGCGCTGCTGGCACCACCGTCCGGAGAGCACGGCCCAGGCCCAGCCGGCTGAGCCCCCGGCTGCGGCACGGCTCTGCTGAGGCCAGGCCCCGTCAAAGTCCGTCCACAGTGAGGGCATTTGACAGCGGTTCCAGGGCTGGACTCCCGTGCGTTTGTGAGCATTTAACTAATGGCTGCCCCCCCTCCCCTCCCCCCAGGGCTAGTTGGTGTTTCTGGTGAAGACTGTTGAGCCTGAAAATGTGATAAATTCTATCTGTTTACCCCCTCATCTCCAAGGGCAGGCAGCAGAGTGGGAGTTTTATGGGCCTTTAATGGGTCTAGAGATAGCTTCAAAGAAAAGTTGAGCCAGCGGGAGAGAGCCACCTCTCCCCAGCAGGTGAGAGCCTGGGCCCAGCAGAAGGGACAGGTCACTGCACCAGTGAGGTCCCAGCTGCCCAACCCCACAGCTCCCACCTTGTGCCTCCTTTCTCCCCAGTACTGCCCGTACCTTCCAGTCTGGGCTCTGCAGGCTCCCAGGCCCAGAACCACAAGATGGCTTCAGCCTGCCTTCTTGAACCTTCCGCCAGCACCCCCTCACTCTCTGCCTCCCGTTCTCCACTCCTCGGCCAGGCCAGCGGTCAGATTCCGGAGCCCGCAGTGTTCAGGAATCCCACTCCCAGCAACCTCTCCCAGCCTCCCCCCAGTGGCTCCCTCCCCTCCCCCTCCTCTCACTGTCCAGATCCACAGCCCCAGGGGATTTGTCCAGGGCGCTGGCGGTCAATAGTCTGGCCTGCCCTGCTAGAGGCTCTGACCTCATCCCTTAACTCTTTGAGTCCAGGACGACTCCTTCCTCCCCAGCCCTGACAGGCGCCGCCCCACACCCATGCCTGTCTTATTTCCTGGCTCCGCTCAGGGCAGCAGGTGAGGCAGGGTTTCCTTGGTCCGTTCCTGGTCCACAGACGAGGATGCTGTTGGCTGTCCTTCTCCTGAGCTCTCGAGCCAGGCAGGGCCTCACCCGGAGACAGGAGCTTGGCAGGTGAGGAAATACAGAGCCTGCGGGAACAGAGGGACCCTGCTCTGGAGCTGGCCCCAAGCCCTGCAGGGGCGTCCTCATGCCCGAGGGCCTGAAACCAAGCAGGAGGATGCTCTGCATACAGCTGTGTATTTATTCCACAAATGTTTATTGAGCCGCTACTGTGTGCCAAGCGCTGGGCTAAAGCAGTGAATGAGACAGACACGGCCCCCACCCAGCCTCCCAGAGAGCTACAGCTACACCTCCCCCTTCCTACCACACTGTCATCATGCATCACGCAGACAGAGGACAGGCCCCGTCACACACGCGCAAGCCAGATCCTAAAGGAAGGACTGGCTCCTCACTATTGGCTGATTTAAACTAGGGTTTGATCAGGCTTGTCCAGGTGGGCAAGGAGGCTGTCGAGCCCCCAGCCCCACAAGAGCTGCTTAGAGCAGGGATCCAAGAGGCTCCTCTCCAGGGCCGACTGCCTGGGTCCACATCCTGGTAGCGTTGCTGGTGAACTAGCTGCAAGGTCCTTAAAGGCTTAGAGACCTGTAAGCAAATTGCCCCTTTGGCAAACTGAGGATAATAGAACCGATATTGCAAAAAGTTATAATGGATTGATTAAATCATGTGTATAATGCTGCCCTGGCCAGGTGGCTCAGGTGGTTGGAGCGCCGTCCTATACACCAAAAGGCTGCGGGTTCGATTCCCAGTCAGAGCACATAGGGGAGGCAACTGATCAATGCTTCTCTCTCACATCAATGTCCTTCTCCCTCCCTCTCTCTCTCTCTCTCCCCCGCCGCTCCTCTCTCTCTCCCCCCTTCCTCTTTCCCTAAAAGCAATAAACGTATCCTCGGGTGAGGATTAAAAATAATAATAATAATGTATAATTATTGTATACAATACTTATAGCCATGTCTGGTATATTGTGAACAGTCAGTAAATAACAGTTGCTATAATAATATTAATAATGTTATTAGCCCTGGCCAGATAGCTCAGTTGGTTAGAGTGTTGTCCTGTTATGCCAAGGTTGCAGGTTCAATTCCCGGTCAGGGCACATACAAGAGACAACCAATGAATGCATAAATAAGTGGGACAACAAACCAACATTTCTCCCCCCTGCACTTCCTGTCTTTCTAAAATCAACAAGATAATAATATTAGTAGTAGCATTTAAAAGCTCCCCAAAACTCTCATCAGGTGGACATAGTCCTGGACAGAAAAGCACCTTCCCGTTTCCTGGCCACCTCCCTGTACCCCAGAAGTGACATCCTCAGAGGATGAGTCGCAATCCATCCCCGCAAATCCATGGACTCACCCCGCACCACCCTTGCTCTTACGCAGCACTGCGCACATGCTCACACACAAACACGCCTCCGACAGAAGGGTCGCCCAGCGAGACAGGAGGAGAGATAGGGCTTAAAGCTGGGCAGAACCAGTGCCAAGGCCTTCCTGGGGTAGCCCTCCCACAGCCCCTGCCTCCCCCTCCCCCTGTGGATGTTTCACAGAATACGTTAGGCAAATGCAGCCTCCAGCCCCGCTTTCAACCAGAGCACTGGCTCTAAGCCCCGCCTTTGCAGAAATCCTGGCCTGCTGCTCCCCGGCACCCTAACTCCCAGACCAGAACTCAAACCCCCAGCGTGGTCAGCCGCAGCCCCAGGAAGCCTGGTTCTTTCACAGCCATCACGTCTCTCACCGGTCAGTTGCCATGAGCAGGCAGAGGGTTGCCCCAGAGGAGGGACACAACAGGGACCAGAGCAGAAACCTTCTCCTGAGCGACTCACTGTCCCTGAGAGGTCTGGGGGACGACTCGCTTGCTTCTGATCGAAGCTGAAAGGCAGAGTTGTTGACAGCTGCTCTGAGCTGCATCCCAAGAGCTCAGAAGCCCCAGGGGGTGGTAAGAATGAGGGTTCGGTTCCCCAGAACCTCTACTCTTGTCCTCCCCTCCTTTGTTTCAGGGAAGCCTGAGTCCTTATATCTCATAGGCCGGCCCAGTAGACCTTGGGCCCTGGCCGGTGTGGCTCAGTGGCCTTCGAGCCAGAGTCACCTGTCTGATTTCCCAGTCAGGGCACGTGCCTGGGTTGTGGGCCATGTCCCCAGTTTGGGGCACACAAGAGGCAACCACGCATTGACATTTCTTTCTCCCTCCCTTCCCCCCTCTCTAAAAATAAATAAATTATTTAAAAAGAAAGGAAGGAAGGAAGGAAGGAGACCTTGGAGCCACAGGTCCAGGCAGAGTCCAGCTCCCCTGCTTCCTGTGAGAGACCATCAGGGGCATCAGCCACCCCCCACCCCCGCCGATGTCTTCATCTATAAAACAGAGCACAGACAATAGTGTGGGGATTGCAGGGTCGGGGGAGTATATGGGGACTAAATGGTAATGGGGGAAAAAATGCAATGAAAAAATAAAACAGAGCTAAGAACCCCCACTCCCTTGAGGGACCCCGTGAATCAAGGGAAATAATAGCATACATCAAGTACCTAGCATGGAGGAGGTGATTAATTATGATGGTTAGTAATTTAAAATAAGAAAGTTAGCCCTGGCCATTGTGGCTCAGTTGGTTGGAGCGTTGTCCTGTAAACTGAAAGGTTGAGGGTTCTGTCCCCAGTCGGGCAACGTAGGAGAGGCAACCAATCAATGTTTCTCTCTCACATCAGTGCTTCTCTCCCTCTCTCTCTCCCCTTCCTCCTCTCTCTAAAATCAATAAGCATATCCTTGGGTGAGGACATTAAAAAAAAAATCAGAAAGTTGGAAGGGATTTCCAGCCATTAAGGAGAGGGATTCCAGCCTCCTCACTTCCAAGGACCCCTTTTTCTCTCAGGTCCCCCCTTCTGAAGCCTTTTTTAAAATTCACCAAAGCCTCAGCTAGCTTCCAACGAGAGCTTGGCCGCGGTCATGATGGGCAATGGTTGCCATGTTCCCACCACAAGGAGACGCCATTCAAGGCCCGGCAGAGAGCTGTCGGCTTCTTCCGCAGCCTCAGCTCAGGCACTCGGGTCCTTTCTGCTCAGCACCTGGGGCTATTAGTTTCGGAGCACTGGAAAATCTTCCCAGAGGCCAGGCCGGTCCCACTGCTCCAGGGTAGAGAGGAGCAATGTGGGGGCCAGAGAGGGGCTGTGTGGGATCTGGAAGGGAAGGAATGTCAGGAGTCAGAACCGAGGTCTTTGACTGAGTGTCATTTCAGAGCCAGGCGCTTTGGAGGCCGGTGTCGCCGTGGGCGGAGGGGGGTCGAGCGGTGGGGGGGATGCAGGGCAGCTGGGAAAGGAAGGGTTAAGTGATTGCTGCCTGTCACACAGCCAGGAGGGGCAGCTTTGAGATTCAGAAGCAGCTCTGTGGTCTACAAGGCCGGAATCAGCTGGAGGTGAGCAAGGCACTCACCTCAGAATTAAATTTAAGGGGGACACAAAAAAAACCTCCCTCATCAAGATGAACACTCTAGTAATGTAACCTTTTCAGATATCAAATAGCAAACTACAGCCCACAGGTGGGTGGGCCATCTGCTTTTGTAAATAAAGTTCCACTGGAAGTGGCACCAGGATCAGGCCGAGGCACCGTAGGGGTGTTTGTGTGAGGTCATGCTTGGAGCCTGTCCTTGATTAGAATTGTACTAGGGATGTTTTGCCTTAATTTCCATTTTTTAAGTATTACATGACACTTTTATTTGCCTGATTACTGAGTTTTGGGGCACCTCCTTAAATTTTGCACCCAAGGCGAGTGCCTCACTCGGCCTCACTCCAGTCCTAGCCCTGCCCTGTGAGGACCAGTGCAGCAACGGCAGAAGGAGCACTCCGCCCACGCCCGCGCCCGCGCCCGCGCCCGTGCCGGACGAGGCCCCTGCAGCTACGAAGGTGCAGCCTCTCGGGCCAGCAGGCTGCTCCTCTAGTAAAGCTTTCCCAGCGTTTGGCCTAGGCTGCCGCTGGGGGCTCCAGGGCTGCTGGGGGCACCTGGGAGTTGGGAGGGGGCAGCACCCCCTCTAGGAGCCAGGAGACCTTGAACGACAGAATGCCTGCTTCCCCCTTTTCTCTGGGCCTCAGTGGTTCCATGTGTGCAATGGGCACTAACCAGCACTGGGTTCGCATCAGAGGGACGAGAGGTGAGCGGGGCAACCCGTCAAGGCCAGTGTCCCCCAGCGGCCCCACCAGGAAGCCCCATCAGGCGCCTCTCCTCCCAGCCTCCCCGCCAGGGCCTGACTTTGGTTAAGAAAGGAGGATGCGACAAAACTCAGTAAGCCAAATAAATAACATTGCAATGCAACCCTTAAAAAATTCAAATTGGCAAACTCTGCCCCCCCCCCACCCCCGGCCAAATGTCAGTTTTTATAAAGTTTCACTGGAATGAACTGAACAGCTTGGGCTCAAATCCTGGTTCCTACCTTAACCTGTGTATCCTGTGCAAATTCTCTTGCTTTTCTCAGCCTCAGTTTCTTCCTCTGTAAAACAGAGAGAAGGGCAACACCTTGGTCACAGGTTTCCCCATTAAAAAATTAACCACAGTCAGGGACCGGAGCACTTTGAGCAGCGCCTGGCCCCCAGGGAGCACTAAATAACAGCGATGATCAGTACTGTTACTCATGGGCATTGTCATGGTGTCAGGCGCTGCTGGGCGGTGGGGATCCCTCGCTGCCCCACACGCTGAAAGTCATGGGAACCTGTGCCCCAGGGCTGTTCTGGGCACCTCACACCTATTGACTCCCTTAAGCCTCACAGCAATTCCCTGACTTGTCGGCTAGGGACTAGTACCGTCCCCATTTTTCAGTTGCGGCAACCGAGGCACGAAGCCGTTATGTCGCCAGCGGAGATCACACATCCAGTGGAGGGGCAGCCTGGATTCGAATGCAGACAGTGTGGCTCCAGAGTCCGGGTCCTTCACCCAGGATGTTAAATGTGCCCCCTCCCGTGCAAACTGTCCCGGACATGCTGGCAGCCACGGCCTTTCTTGCTCGTGGGTCACACTGACCTCTCCACGCTGAGCGTTGCTCTCATACACTGATAGGTCACCACGAGCTGTGGAGATGCCCAGGTCACATGCGATCGCAGCCACTCCCCGCCAAGGCCATGGGTCCCGCAACAACCCTCCCACAGGCACGGCGCTCTGGCGTCTCAGGCACAAACCAGGTTTCCAGGAACGCCGGGGCCTGGTGGGCCTCTCCCTTGGATTTTTTCCAACAATACAGCCCCCGAAGCCACAGCTGCAAGTCGGAAGAGACCCCCGTCTCTTCAATGGACGGATGGGTGCGCAAGGCCCAGACCAGGAAAGGGCCTGCCAAGTGCAGCCGCGAGGCTGTGGCCGAGCCGGGGCGCTGCCTGCCTGGCCTCCAGGAGGTCGCTAAGGGTCCTTGCTCTTCCCTTTACCCACACTTAGTGCCTGGGCTGGATTCCAGTTTCAGGAAAAATCTGGGGGATCTTCCTGTTCTCCTTGCTGCCCCCCACTCAGCTGGAGCCCAGGAACAGAGTGGGGAGATGGAGGGGGCCTCCCACACCCCATCTGGGGCCAGCACCCGCTTCTCTGGGAGCCGAGTCCCTGGCCCCCGCTGCCTGCTTTTACTGCAGACCTTCTGCCACCAGGCGCATGTCCGGGCCCAGCACTACTCTCCCTGTCGCCCTCACAGCGGGTCCGATGCAGTTCCAAGCACGGCCTCACCCTCCCCCTCTCTCTGCACCCCCGCCCCGCCACACACACAGACACACATTGACACTCAGCACCCCTCCCATCCCTTCCCCCTTATCTTCTCTGGAGCCCTGCCCTGCCTTCTCAGGTCTTCTCATTTGATGCAACTATCCCCCTGGAGCTCCACCTGCTCAAGGAGAAGGAGAAAGTGGGTCCTCCTCATCCTCCCCGCCCCTGTCACCGTGACCAGGCCTTGCAGCCACAGTTGCCTCAGTGAAGCAAGGGTTGTAAGACACCTTTCTCCAAGAGGTGCCTGACAGTTAGATTAGGTAATGCAATATAGCACTTAGCCCCGCGTCTGGTGTGTAGTGACTACTCAGTAAATGAGAGCTTTAATAAAATTGAGTGAAACGCTTTGAAAATCTGGCAGACCCGTACAGAAAGCGCGTGTCCAGCTCTGCCGTGTGAGTTAAGCGAGACAGGAACTGGGAGCAATTTCCCAAGGAGAAAATTGAGGCTCAGAGTCTGAACTGGGGAGCGGGAGCGAGGACTCAGATCCCCGGATTCCAACGCGCACCCCCTGCTGTTGGCAGAGCCGTTTGTGGCTGGGACTGTGTGTTATATGACTGTGTGTGTTAAATGACAGTGTGCGCACACCAGAACAGGAAGGGGCCTGCAGGTCAGGGGGAGTGACGCTGTCTGGCCTGAAGCTCTGAAAGGGTGGGGGCTGTGTCCTTAGCACCTGCCACTCCAGGCAGTGCCCAGCGAAAGCCCACGTCCTCTCTTTTCAGGTGATGGTCTCCCCTTGAGGAAGCCCTGTCGTGTGACCAGCGGAAGGGGCTGCGCCTCGGCCCCGCCCCCCCCAACCACCATGAATACCTCAGCCCCACCTGCCGTCAGCCCCAACATCACCGTCCTGGCACCGGGAAAGGGCCCCTGGCAAGTGGCCTTCATTGGGATCACCACAGGCCTCCTGTCACTGGCTACAGTGACAGGCAACTTGCTGGTACTCATCTCCTTCAAGGTCAACACAGAGCTCAAGACGGTGAACAACTACTTCCTGCTCAGCCTGGCCTGTGCCGACCTCATCATCGGCACCTTCTCCATGAACCTCTACACCACCTACCTTCTCATGGGCCACTGGGCTCTGGGCACACTGGCCTGCGACCTCTGGCTGGCCCTGGACTATGTGGCCAGCAATGCCTCCGTCATGAACCTGCTGCTAATCAGCTTTGACCGCTACTTCTCCGTGACCCGGCCCCTGAGCTACCGTGCCAAGCGCACGCCCCGCCGGGCAGCGCTGATGATTGGCCTGGCCTGGATGGTCTCCTTCGTCCTCTGGGCCCCAGCCATCCTCTTCTGGCAGTACCTGGTGGGGGAGCGGACGGTGCTGGCCGGGCAGTGCTACATCCAGTTCCTCTCCCAGCCCATCATCACCTTTGGCACAGCCATGGCCGCCTTCTACCTCCCTGTCACGGTCATGTGCATACTCTACTGGCGCATCTACCGGGAAACGGAGAACCGGGCCCGGGAGCTGGCGGCTCTGCAGGGCTCTGAGACGGCAGGTAAGGGGGGCGGCAGCAGCAGCAGCTCAGAGCGGTCCCAGCCCGGGGCGGAGGGCTCCCCGGACAGCCCTCCCGGGCGCTGCTGTCGCTGCTGCCGGGCCCCCAGGTTGCTGCAGGCCTACAGCTGGAAGGAGGAGGAGGAGGAGGATGAAGGCTCCATGGAGTCCCTCACATCCTCCGAGGGCGAGGAGCCCGGCTCCGAGGTGGTGATCAAGATGCCCATGGTGGACCCGGAGGCGCAGGCCCCCGCCAAGCAGCCCCCGCGGACCTCCCCGAACACAGTCAAGAGGCCGACGCGGAAGGGACGCGAGAGAACAGGCAAGAGCCAGAAGCCCCGCGGGAAGGAGCAGCTGGCCAAGCGGAAGACCTTCTCGCTGGTCAAGGAGAAGAAGGCGGCTCGGACCCTGAGCGCCATCCTGCTGGCCTTCATCCTCACCTGGACACCATACAATATCATGGTGCTGGTGTCCACCTTCTGCAAGGACTGTGTTCCTGAGACGCTATGGGAGCTGGGCTACTGGCTTTGCTACGTCAACAGCACCGTCAACCCCATGTGCTACGCACTCTGCAACAAAGCCTTCCGGGACACCTTCCGCCTGCTGCTGCTCTGCCGCTGGGACAAGCGACGCTGGCGCAAGATCCCCAAGCGCCCTGGCTCTGTGCACCGCACCCCCTCCCGCCAATGCTGATGACCCCCTCGCCCTCCTCCCTCCACCCCAGTCCCCGGGAGAGCCCAGAGCCGGGCAAACCACAGGCAGGGGCTGTGACCTCAGACCCCGGGCCCTGCTCAGTCCTCTCCAGGCTTCCAGGCTCCGAGGTCACCTTCCCGGGTAGCCCAGAGAGGCCTTGCCAACAACTTTCTACACTTTGCTATTCCCAGGCAGGGAGCAAACCCGGGGAACTGGTTTTTCTGTTCCCTGCTGGGTGGGAATGGGCTCTTCACCAGGAAGAAGGCCCTGGAGGAGGATCCGGCCTTTGGATTCCTTGTTTGCTTTTAGGCAGGAAGTCTGTTGGGAGCCAGCAGAGCGGCCTGGAGAAGGAAGGTTTACCATTACAATCATCCTTGGCCCCCTGAAAGGCCTGGATTGGGGTGGGAAAGGGCGCCCCCTGGGGCCACAGTAGGGAACTGGCACCAAACATTGAGAGAAAAGGTTGGCTCAAAGGGACCAGCCCCTGGCTGGGGATCCCCTCCCTCCACAGACACAGCCCGCTCAGCAGGGCCCTAGGCACACTCTCCAGAACTGTCCAGCCCCCCTACCAATGCCCTCAGAGTGTCTCTATGTGGGTCACCCCCAAGACAAATGTCTAAGCATCAGCAGGACAATGGCACCGGGGGGGGGGACTAGCTTGGCTAGTCACACATCGAGCCCCGGGGCAGCAGCAGGACCAGACCCCAGGTATCCCGACTGTCCCCCCGATGTCATTTCCCTGGAGCGAGGGGCAGGGTTGCCTGCTGTCCGGCCTCACACCTATACACCCTGCCCCAGAGAAACCCTCGGTCCCTCCCTGGCTCCCAGCGCCACCTGGACAGGTCTGCCCCCATGCAGACCCAGCCAGGCCTCCTGCATGCTGCGTGCCTCTGGCCCGCCCCACACAGGCCTGGCCAGGCCAACAGGTTCCCTCCTGCGAACTCCCCAGTCCCACCCATGCATGGCCTCCCAGCCACCCTTCTCTCCAGGCCCAGCCCGGCCCCAAATATTCTTTCCTTCCACCCTCAGCAAGTGCTGAGTCTGTGAATAAAGCCACATCATCAGCGGCTGCTAAGGGTCCTTCCTCCCTGTGTTGGATCAAGGACCTGGTCTTAGGCCAGGGCAGGATGGGGCAGGGAAGGCCCACGTACTGCGGAACGCGGGCTGCTGCCCTGACGGTGGTCCCAGGAGGGGCAGCACTGAGTGGCTGAATCTACTGAAGCCTGTGGACCCCAGCACCCCAGTGCCCCTGGCTCAGGTGAGGAGGGCTGTAATGGGCAAACCAGGCTACTGGAAACAGAAAAGCAAGGCTAAAGAAACTGCCCATAGCCCAGCATGTTCTCTCTCAGCTTTGCCATGTGGCCCTTCTGGGGACCCTGTCAAACCCAGCGAGGACAAAACTGCTCCAAAGCCCCATTTGCAGGTGGGGAGACCAAGGCCCAGTGACTCAGGAGGACTGTTCAGGGTTACCCCACAAAGCGACACCCTTGCTTTTGGGCAACAGTGGTCCTCAAAGTGTGGTTGTCATTGGAGGTCCTCAATACCACCCTTAAGTTCCGTGATTCACTAGGACACACAGAACTCGGCAAAGCTGTTATGCTCAAGGTTACAGTTTAATGCAGTGAAAGGATACAAATTAAAATCAGCAAAAGATAAAGGCACCTAGAGCAGGGCCCAGCAGAGACCAGGTGCAAGCTTCCAGTGGAATCACGGGACAGCACTTAATTCTGTCAGCAATGATGTGTGACAACAGGCACGAAAGTCGCCAACCAGGAAAGCTCACCTGAGCCTTGGTATCCAGGGTTTTTATTGGAGGCTGCTCATGTAGGCGTGGCTGACCTCAGTTACTTAGTCTCCAGTCCCTCCAGAGGTTACACTGTCACCAGGTGGCCCAAGGCCCTGGCTATAAGTCACATTGTTAGCACAGATGATCTGGCATGGCTAAGGGTCCCCAGGTAAGCAGAGGCAGTCTTACCAGGCAGGACAGTCCTAGGAGCTATCTCCCAGGGGCCAGGCAGGGCCAACCTTTTCTCTGGAATGTGCAAGGCTTGGATAACCCAGACCTGCTCCGCTAGTCCTTCAGCGCGCAGTGGTCCTAACAGGTAACAGCAGCATCACCCGGGAACATGTTCAATATGCAAGCTCCCAGGGGCACTCGGGATTTACTGAATCAGAAACCCTCGGGGCAGAGCCCAGTCCTGTGTTTTAACAGGCCATCGGGTGAGGGGGACGCAGGCTAAAGTCTGAGAAACACCGGCCTAGAGGGGCAAGGTCCTGGGTGGGGCTCGACCCCTGCGGAGAGAGGGAGCAGACACTCAACACGTGCCCGTCAGGACTCCCAGAATCCTGGGAAAGGAACCTTGCAGCACTGTGGGCACGGGCGGTCCACGGAAGAGGTGAACAGAACAGGCTGGCCAGGGACTGGCCAGAGCACAGCACTGCAGCCGTGACTTTAGGACATGAGCCATCCCGCCCCCACCCAGCACACCTCCCTGGGTTGTCAGCTCAAGACCCCGCGAGGGCCCCTCCCTTCTGACCGCTTCCACTTCACGCTGAGCCCTCTCTAGAGCTAAATGCCCTGCCCAGTGTCGAAGGCATTGATCCCGGGCATCAGAGACCGAGCGGGCCAGCAGCGTTGGGAGAGCAGAAGCGCCAGATCCCATTGGCCGGCTGCTCCTGGACACCCAGACTGAGGAGGCCAAGGCTGGTCTCTGCGTCAAGAACGGGACTGGCAGTTCACACTTGTCCCTTGTCCCAGGCACAGGTCCTGCCCCCTCTGCCCGCTCCCCACAGGACCTTAGGCAAGTCTCATTTCTACTGTCCTCCTCTCTGAAAGGGGAATGAGCCCCTCAGGGGGGAGTTAAGTAGATGAGGGAGACTGTCTGTCGAAAGTACCACAATGGCTCCATGATCGGTGTCCTCGCAGGACCCGGCTGCTCACACGCAGGTGAAGGCCAGAAACAAAGGCTGGTTTCGACGCACATCCCTCCATACTTCTCCAGCCTAGGCTTTAAAGAGCTCAGAGTACCACCTCCCACCCCTCCCCCCACCCACATACACCAACACAAACGCTAACCTCCCTCTGCCACAGCGCAGGGGAATAAACAGCTTGGAGAAAGGAGTGTGGGGAGTAAGCCTGGGCGGCGGAGGGCGTGCAGTCCACAATGCCCCCCTCCTGGGGGGAGGTCTATGCCCTGCAAGCCTCTGAAGCCACAGTTCTGCAGATCCAGCTGCCAGGAGGTGGACGAAAGGGCTTGAGCCCGGCGGCAGAGGGTGGCTGGACATGCGTGAGTTCACCCGCAACTCTACACCCCCTCCCCCGCTGAAGAAGTCCTTCTTGGCCCCAGAAATAAGGGCCCTGTCATGCCTGAGCAGGAAGTTGGGAAACAATAAGATGGCTTTGTGAACGCCACCCAGTCCCCTAGCAGATAGGAGCAGGCCTGGAGGGGGGCCACCAGTTAGGTAGGATTCTCGCTCCTCTGCCTGCCCCACCTACCCCACCCCCACCTCCATTCACAGCCTATCACTTGAGCGCCATCTGCTGGCCATCAAGGGAATAGTCCTTCCAGGCCCCCGCTGCTTTGCAGACGACCAGGACCATAGGATCCAATGTGCCTTGGCCGCCTCAGCTCCTGTCCCCACACCTCAGCCGAAACCAAGGTCCCCCCAAGGATCAGCCCACTTGGCTGCTGCTCTACACCTGCAGAGGCAGAGCCCTCCCTGTCCCCAGGAGGCCAACCTCACCAGACAGCTAGGTGATAGCTGAGAGGAGGCTCGGCACCTAGGGAGAGCTCCACATTCTTTGGGTGTTTCCCCAGGCTTTTGGGATCCTTGGTTTCACTTTCGGAAGCCTGGCTATGATTTGACAGAAGCTGACCTCACAGGAAACTCAGACAGGCACCTGCTGGCCCTTACAGCACAAGCCTTTGAATGCCAGGTGCCCACACCAGCCTCAGGCCCTAAGGCGCTGGAGGTGTATTCTCAGCAGACTTGGTAACACGCGCAAACTGCTAAACTCCGGGAATGAGGCTGTCACACAGAGTAGGCCCAAAAACTCTTCCCAGTCTTCCCTCCCGGTCCCTACGCTGCCCTGCCGCCCAGTTCACTCTCCTTCTTGGCATTCCTGGCTTGGCGCGCACCCCTTTCCCTCAGTTCTCAATGCAGAAATCTGGGCATCATCTCAGAGCCCTTCTCCTTCCACCCCTGCGCCCAGTCAGCCTCTCGCCCCCGGAACAGCCCCCAATCCATCCAGGGCTCTCGACCTCTCTGTCGCTGTCCCAGTTCAGGCCTCTTGCCTGAAATGCCCAAATACCATATTTTGCTGTGTATAATGTGCACCCACGTTTTTGTTATAATACCCATGGGATTATTATACCCATCGTATGTAATCATCATACCCATATATAATGCACATCCTTATTTGTCCCTCAAAAATTGGGGCCACAAAAGTGCGTTATAAGTGGCAAATTACAGTAATCCCTTAATCCAGAGTTTAGCAAACTTTTTCTGTAATGGGGCAAATGGTAAATATTTGAGGCTCTGTGGGCCAAGAGGCAAAATTAAGGACATCATGTAGATACTTCTATATTATAGTCTCTGTCACAGCTATTCAACTGTGCCACTGTAGTCAAAAGCAGCCATAAACAATACATAAGTAAATGAACATGGCTGTGTTCCAATAAAACTTTATTTGAATTTCACTGAGATTTGAATTTCATATCATTGTCATGTGTCACAAAATATTATTCTTCTTCTGATTTGCTTTTTAGCCATTTAAAAATGCAAAACCCTTGCCCTGGCTGGTGTGGCTCAGTAGACTGACCTCCGGCCTGCGAACCTAAAGGTCGCTGGTTCCATTCTCTGTCAGGACACATGCCTGGGTTGCAGGCTGGGTCCCCATTGCGGGGGCATGCCAGGGGCAGCTGATTGATGTACTGACTGATGTTTCTCTCAGGAGAATAAAAGACACTCTAATCTGCCACCCAGGAAATTCCAGGGATTTAGGAGCCCTGGGTCAGGAACC